GAAGCACAATGGATTAATGACTAATTAATTAATGGATTAATTTTTATAACTGGTTAAAATTAAACCATCAACCCAGAGTTGCAGAGGTCTTAATTTCTTTTTAATTGATCACAAGCAGAGACAGATTCAGAATTAATTCCTTGTGCACAAGTACATTTTTATATACCTTGATCATTTCTCATTTGGTCAGAAGCTTCCATTTATAGACTTTTAGCACTCGAAGGCATTGACTATTAGGAAACCTTAGACTCCACATAGTCCTATACTATTAGGATGTGTTTAAGGCCTCATCACCTCTTGGCATGTTCTGGTTCTCCATCACTTCATGATCTCTATTATGTTACATAAAGATTACACAGTCCAAGCTTCTCGTTTTACAGATGATGAAATTGAAGCCCGGAGAGGCTAAGGTCACACAGTTAGTAGACAAGGTAAGCCATTCTTTAAAATACAGGCAGTTATTCCACAAATATAAATTTAGTCTAATAAATTGGTAATAAAAAAGATAATATGGATCTTACATTCTCCTGCAAGACTCATCCAGTGCACATGAAATACAGAGTATTATGTAAATATGTGGTACTTTATATTATGTTAGCCATAGGGGTTCATATTTAGATAACAAAGATAGACAAAGTAATTCAGAATTAAAGGACAAAACACAATTCTAAGATTACAAGCACTGGGTAGAAAGATACTTAAAAATATTTCAAGATGTTTCAAACCTGCTGATGTATGACCATGGATAACAAAGAATCTGACTTAAATACTTCACAATCACTTCCTACTCTACACCATAATTTCACAATCTGATGTGCAAACCTCTTGATAAATCAGATGAGGCCAGGATGCTGTAAGGCTCTTTCAGGACTTCCTGTTCTGCTTCTTTCTCACCAGTCTTCAATTCCATTTCAGATACAACATCTTTATCATAAATGTTGCTGCTTAATTTCATTGGATTAATTAGTCCATCTAAAGAATGATGAGAAGCAAATTTGTTTATATAGCCAGTTAAGTGCTTGATATTAACTAAAGCATTTTATGAAACCAATGCATTTTAAAATTTTCATTCTAAATTTCTTCTCTTAATCACATAATACAAAATCTTTACATAAGATAAACTCAAATACCCATATAATTTATGAATTTAAAAAGGTAAAAGACATCAGAGACTTTCTAGGCCAACTTCTTCCTTTCACAGATGAAGCAACTAAGGGTCAGAAAGATTAAGTGATTTGTCCAGGGTCCCACAAATAACATTTATACTGCAATCTAAAGTTTGCAAATGCTTTCCATTAATTATCTCATATTGGCCTTATAATCCTGTGAAGTTAGTGCTACAGGCACTGCTAATTCCCATTTTCTGGATGAAGAAACTGAGGTTCTTTGAAGTTACATGAATTGTCCATGGTCACACAGCTGGTTAGTCTCAGAGGCAACATGTGAATTGAGATCTATGTACAGCAATGAGCTGCCTCAAGACAGATTTAATATGGCTACAGTTAGAGCAAAGGGAGCAAATAGTGTACCAAGCCGCTGTCTTTCTTGCTTGCCATGTTTAAGGCTTCTGGTAATATTGAAGTACCTCTTACCGGTACTCTTGCTGCTGTTCTTGGGACTGCTTCTGTTACTGACCGACTACCAGCAACTAAACCTCCTCTAGAACTGCTGCTGTATACTATAAGGATATTTATTGCCTTGTCAGTGTACGTAGGGGGTTCATGGAGGACAATGCCTCCGGTATGAGGCTTTGCTGAGCCCCTTTCATGGCAGCTCATCCAATTCCCACCCAACTTTCACCTGTGGCTCCAAGAAGCTGTAGCATGCAGGTCACACCCTGGTCAAACTGTCTCAGGTTGAGGGTAACCTACAGTCCTCAAACCTAATGGTGAGTTAGGGGGATGTCTACCCCAAGCGTGTGAAAACAGTGGAATGGGTGGATAAGAACAATTTTTCTAATGGCCACCAAGACAGATGAAGCAGGCGCCGTGGAGCAAGGTCATCCACTGCATCCCAGGCCACTGCCAGTTGTCCAGACTTTTGTCCTGCCACTGGATTTGGATGACTCTCAAAGACAGAGTGAGGCTGATGACTATGCAACTCTGCCTTACTTAAATCCAATTTCACTGTAAGTCAAGACATCACTGCATGACGTCACTGGTCTTCTTCAAAAACGAAGGATGAACAACTGCCTCGTCATCTTTTGGTATATGCCATGATGGTCCTCCCATCACTTCATGATCTCTGACAGTTATGTTAAGCTCATCAATTGAGGGCTTCTCTTCGATTCTTCAGGAAGCCCAACATGACTTCCGGCCAACCTCCTCTTTAGATATCACTGTTCAAGATACTTTCTCATAAATAAACTCAAGCCAACCGTTTACCTTATTGAATTACACATATCCTACCAGGAGTTTTATAATTTTGGAATACTGTAAATATACATTATTTCATTAACTTCTTTAATATTTCAAGAACTGGTGATTTCATCTGTATGAGTATTCTCTCCACTACTGTGCATTGCAAGCCCTTATGACTTGGTAGACTGTCCTACAGAGGCTGAAAAAATTCATCAGTGAAACCAGACTGGTGATAAATCTTTCTAAACTTAATTAGGCTGCTCCTTAGACAGACATACAGGGTGTCCCAAAAGTCTCAGTGCAGTTTTAATCTTCAATGCTATTAACATTTAATACTGAATTAAATTTATTATTCCTTGAGTAACAGCACTGCCAAGCCTCTACAAGCCTTTCTAGCTTGTGCTCTTTCAAAGCCCAAAGTCATTTCATAGCATAATCTGAGAGGCTTTAATCTATAGTAATGAATAAATGGGCTTTTGAGAACTAGCTTGAGATTACAATCATCATTTATATCAACGTCATAAGAAAATGCACCCCAAATTCCAATGAATGAATTTTGGAAAATCTTTTTTATAACCAGTTATTTGTCTATGCTTATGTAGCACCTCTTCCTTGAGATGCTAAAACAAATTTTTCAACAAACTTGTAGGAAACTACACTGATGCCTTGACAGTGAGTGGTAAATCACCAAGTATTAATTTTTCCATTTCTTTCATGGCTCTCCCTACTCAGTATCCTTTTTTGGATTTTACTTGTTTTTATTTCCTCCAGCCCCAGTCTTAACTATACCCATATTTATCACTGGTTTCCTGCTTACTATGATGTACAGCAAAAATTCAATTACATATTGAGTTCAAGGAACTATCAATATTAACTCCTCACAACAGGGCCGCAAACAGTTGTAGTGAATGAAGGGCTAGCCAAACAGTCAGGTTCAATCAATCAGTGCCTACCTTTTATATGAGATTTCTTCAGATTTATAAAAGTTTTCTTTAATAAGAAAAAACTACATAAGTCTTATTTCCCTTATCCACATGCACCAAAACCCCAATACATAGAAAATGTGCACTTTTAAAAGCAGGGAAACTTCACAACAGCATGGCAAGCCAATCTAAACAGTCAATTACCACTGTTAAGAGCAAATTGAAAGATAAATTTATTATAAACCTATAAAGGCTATACATATAAACATTCTCAACAGCCTAAACCATTAGAGTGTGACCTTCTTGATGGCAGGGGCTGTTTTTTCACTCTTCTTTGTATTCCCAGGACTTGGCTCAGTGGCTGGCACGTAGGCACTGAATAAGTGGTTGTAGACATAATGCATCCTTGTTACATCCATTCATTACATTCACTACCACCAAGAGAAGGTGAAATAAAATGGACAGAACCTTCTTGACCCAGCTAAGTGCTGTGGTAGCCAGTAGACTGAAGGTGTTTAATATATATAAATCTTCAAAAGATTCAGAGGAAGATGAAAATCCAATAACTTGTCAGGGAAACTACTCATTTGGGGCTTCAAGTCTGATGATCAATTCTTATTTCCCTCCTCAAACCCAATCAGCCAATAAAATAAAATGCCCTTTTATGATGCCTCCAAATTTCAGAGGCAGCTAGATGGTACAGTGAACAGAGCGCTGGGTTCAGACGTTCAGAACCCCAAAGTTCAAATTGTGCCTCAAATATTCTGTGACTCGGTTTCCCCGTCTATAAAATGGGGATCATAATAGCAGCTAAGTCTCAGGGTCGTTGTGTGGATCAGAATACTAAATTTTTTTTAAGCAAACTTTAATTCGTGGTACATGTATGTGTATACACGCGCGCACAGATAAACACATGTGTAAAGCATGTGCGTATACACACATATAAATTCAGGCTTGGAGGAAACTGATCATCTTACTGTTGCTCCTATCCCTTCAACTGGCCGCCTGCCGGGCTGCTCCGCAAGCGCCACTCCAAGTCTTCTTTGGCACGTGGTGCTGCCTCAATTTCCCCCAAGTCTGAAAGGCTTCCGGACCCCATCGACCCGCCCCCATCACCCCACAGCCCCTCCCCTTACTGCTCTCCGCAGCAGGCTCCGGCTCCAGCTCCAGCTCGAGCTTCGTTTCTGGAGGCGGCAGTCGTGCCGCCTCCTCCGCCATATTCTCCATAGTTACCACTTCTACGCCCAGCCCAGTCTCGGGCCGGGGGGCGCCGAGGGGGGCTCTGCGGCGGCGCTGCTCCCTACCGGTCACGCGATGGAGGGTGGGGGGTAGAGGTGCGGAGGGGCGGAAGATGCTTGCGGGGGTGGGGTAGGGTGGGGAGAATGGAGGAGGGTGCCCAAATTGCTCAGGCGGAGACCGAGGGGAAACACCGGTATTCCGTGATCCTGGAGGTTCCCAGTCCCTGGGGCACACTAAGCTTCCACGCGCCCCTGCGTGTTGACGTAAGGGGAGCACTGGCCAATGAAGTAAAAGTGCTCTGTCTCCATGGCACGTTTACAGTCACTCCGATTCTATTCTTCACCCTCTGAACAATGAACGAACTACAACACCCAGGCTGCACTGCGAGGCCAGTGAGTGAGGAGGCCTAGGCGGAGGGAGGGTGGTGTTCTAAGCTTGAAAGGGGAAAGCAAAGCAAAGCAAACCAAAACAAACCTTGCGCGCGAGCTTCCCGGGAAGGCTAGGAAAGAACTACAATTCCCAGGGGGCATTGGAGCAGAGAGACGCCTTGTAGGGGCCTGGGCCTTCGGCGCTGTAGCCCGCTGGGGTGAGTAATGCGTCTCTGGGGAGAGGGGCTGAGGTGTGACGGGGTTGCGGCCCCCCAAGGCTGGGTCAGCACTGGTGACGACTTAGAAGTCCCTCTTCGGTCAGGTAGCCTCTCTTTTTTGTTTTTATTGTTGGTTGAGTTTAGTCACTCTCGCCCTCTCCCACCCCCTCTTCTCGGTGTTTCCTGTTGGTCTATCTCCTTCAGCTTCCTGTGACTGGCAGAGTACCCACTCCTGGAAAAATACAGCCCCCGCCCTCGGGGAGCTTACAGTCTAATGGTGCTGACTATATCTTGTATGTATGTACAAGATGCGATGTGTTGGGGGAGAAACTCAGAGAACGCACCCAGATTAAAGAGGACTGGGGGGGGGCGTTGGCGGAGACTTGAAGGAAGCCTGGAGGGGGAGAGGAGGAAGGACCAGGTCCTGGCCGGAGGGACTACCGGAGAGATGGAATGCCTCGGGGGAGGAGGAGCGAGGAGGCCGGCGGCCCTGGATCAAAGAGGACGGGGGAGGGGGGGGAAGGTGGAAGGTGGAACGGCAGGTTACGAAGGGTTTTGAACACCAAGTCGAGTGTTTTGTATTTTAGCCTGGATGCTTGCGGGTTGGGGTGGGGTGGGGAGCATGGCGGAGGGCGCTGGGTCTGATTGGGGAGATGGGGTCAGACCTGCGTTTGAGGAAGATTGATTTGACACCTGGGCGGGGATGGACTGGGGTGGGGACAGACGAGAGGCCGGAAGACCCTCCCGCAGGCTGTGGCAGTCAGTGGTCCAGATGGGAGGTGATGAGGGTCTGTACCGCGGTCGTGGCGTATGGGATTTCTCTTTCTTTGTAACCCTCCCAAGGGTGCTTTCCCCCCTCCCCCAGTGGCTCCGAAAATGTTAGGCCTCTTCTACCTTGGATTGTAAGATGCGGAGTTGAAAGAGAGCTTAGACGTCATAGCCTTCTGAGGCAGCTGAGGCCCGAAGAGACTAGCCAATGTGAATTCAGTTTCTCAGACTCCAAACCCAGTGATTTTGTCTTCTATCGCTATTTTACTTTTACTTCACCAACTATATAATCTTCAATCAACAAATATTTATTAAGAGCCTACTTTGTGCCAGGTGCCATGTGTATTTGGTGCTGGGGATACCACTAAAAAGAATGAAACAGTTCCTGCTTACAATACGTTTGGATAGGGGATGCAAGCACATATAACGAAATATACAGCATAATATGATTATTATGTGTATATATAATGGTATATGTAGGTGTGTGTGTATAGAGATATGTATATCTGTATACTACTCAGTGCATGTGTATACATATATACTCATTTAACTATACACACCCAAAGTAGTTAAATACAAGGTGGTTTGGGAATGAGGGAATTAGCAGTTGGGGGATCAGTAAAGGCTTCATATGGAAGATGATGCCCGAGTTGCATCTTATATAATAATAATAATGATAATGATAATAAATGGTAGCTAGCGTTTATATAGTCTTATATAGTGGGAGTGTATTTCAAGTGTAGGGGTCAGTCAGTGCAAAGGCGCCACCTAGATTGGAGATGGCCAGTCTGTCTGGAGTGAAGAGAACAGTGAGAAGGTCATTTTGGTGGGATCGCAGTGTGGGGAGGGGAACAAAAAGAAAGAAGAATTTCTAGGGACCTCTGAAATGACTGCTTTGTTTGCCACTCTGAGGAAAGGAGTAAATGTATTGCATTGGTTTTTCTCTTACTGTAAAAGTTACTGAACAGAATTAGATCCGGGCTAGGCAAACAAAAAGAGCAACCCCACAATTCCTTTTCCGCACTTCCTTCACCCCCACCTGCCATGAGAGCCCTCTTCAAAAAGAACGAAGTTTATTGGATTGATGGGATAGAGTTGATGTAGCTGACCTTGTCTTTTGGCTTTGTGATTGGATGGGTCTGCTGCTTGGAGTTAGGATGGCTTGGATTTAAATGCTGTCTCTTAGGGTTCATCTTAGAGCATCATAAAGTTTGAGCTGGAAGGGACCTTAGAGAACATTTGATCCAAACCCCTCATGTTCAGGAGAAGTACAGTGGCATGAAGAATTAAAGAAGTGACTTGCCTGAGAGTTGAACTCATGCCCTTGGACCCTAAGTTCAGAGCTCTCATTCCAGGGTACTTAAGAGTTATGTGACTTAACCTCTCAGCTTGTTTCCTCATCCATAAAATGAAACTCACACCTGTTATACCTGCCTTACAGAGTTTCTAGGCTCAAATGAGATCATGTGTATAAAATACATGTGAAGGGTTAATGTATAAGATCTTCCCTAGGAACTTCCTAACATATTGTTCTGGGATTTGTTTCAACCCAGACCCACCTTGGAGAACTATTCCTTAAAAAACAGATCTTGAGGTAAACATCCAGGGACTTGGCCAGTTCCTGGGTATGGACCCGAGACATGTTTGACATAACAAAGATTGTTCATGAGATCGGAGAGTTTCGGCCTAAACTTTCAGGTCCTTAGGATCAATCACCTGTTCCTGAGCTTCCTGCCTTATTTGTGGAAGGTGATAAAAAGGGTCTCTCTTAGGAAAGGGACTGGGAGTTTCCCCTTGGAGAAGACGCTATGCCGTAGGGACTTTTCCAAGCGAGACCCCGAGGGCTGTGATAAAGGCACCTCCAGCCAGATGTTCAGGAGTTGGTGCTTCCTCAGATTGGTGATGTATTTCTTCCTCTTTATCTCTCTATCTTTCTGTTAATAGTCTGTTTCTAAGATTGTATAATCATATGTAATCACATTTATGTGCACATAGGTTTATGATTATTATCATTATTAAATAATTTATATGCTAGGAAAAGTGGGAATGTGTCTTTGTGGGTACAGGTCTGAACCTGTGAAACAAATTATAAGTGCTGCGCAGCCTGTAACACCTTACTGTTACAACATGGCAAACGTAAAAAGCGCTATACAATTGTTAGTTGGTGAGGATGCTGTTTTATCAGATTCATAGAAACATAAACTATTTTGTGAAGCATGGTGGCAAAGGAATTTTAATCATGGGGAGCCAAATGATAGTCAACATTTATACAACATTTTAAGTGCTTTACAAATACCTTATTTGATTCTCACAACAGCCCTGGTAAGTGCTATAACTTTTGCCATTTTACAAATGAGGAATCTGAGGCAAACAGGTTAAATGTCTATATTACAGGTTAGGATACTTGTCCAGGCTTACACAGCTAAGTATTTGAACTCAACTTTTGCTGGCTCCAGGTTCAGGGCTCTCAAGAAGTTTTATGTTCTATATCTGGCTCTGTAGCTAATTCACTGTTTTTTTATTTTTTTATTTTTAGGCAGTTGGGGTTAAGTGACTTGCCCAGGGTCACACAGCTAGTAAGTGTCAAGTGTTTGGTCTGAGGCCAGCTTTGAACTCAGGTCCTCGTGACTTCAGGGCCGGTACTCTATCCACTGCCCCATCTAGCTGCCCCTAATTCACTGTTTAACAGTGGAATCACACTATTGACTAATAACATGGGAATGTTCAAAGAGTTAACTATCTAGTATTTTGGAAATATAAGTCTGAGGCTGGATGAATATGTAATAATAACTATCATTACTTAATATATTTAGATCATTGTGATAAGGTCTAGATCTAATTCTGTTCAGTGACTTTTACAGTAAGAGAAAAACCAGTGCAGTAGATTTACTCCTTTCCTCAGAGTGGCAAAATCATGACATGAGGGTCCTGGCCAAAAGAATTCGACCCAAGCCTTCTTTCAGCCAAAAACAAGGTTTATTGAAGATTCGCTGTATTAGGCAGACTCTTAAGGAATCTGAGCATCTGTGGGCTATCGACTAGATTGTGAAAATCTGAGCAGTGGCTAGATTATAAGAATCAGAGCATCTTAATGGAGACAAGATGGACCTTTTATACAGAAAGCCTGTGGGAGGGATCTAGCCCAAGTAGTTTGGGGTGGTGGGAGGAGGGGCCTCGGGAGATCTGGTTGGGAGTGGCCAGTAAGCTGGGGTGAATAGAACTCCTGGGACCTGGACAATGGAACCTAGCTAGGATTAAGGGGCGGGCATAGGGAAGTAAGACAGTGGAGGGGAGATTGAATGTAGCCGCAATGAAAGGCCAGTTGTTGGGATTATAGCATCAGGCAAACGCTAGGGATTTGGCCATGTGGGAAAGTCCAAAGTTTTTCCTTTTTAGGATTTAGCTCCCATCCTCATCATTAGTATCATAGAATTTAATACTAGAAGGGTCTCTTGAGATCATTTAGTACAAATCCGTATTTTAAAAATTAGGACAAGTCTAGCCCAGAAAGAAGTAGAAGGAGGAAAAAGTATGGGTGGGGGGTACAGGTACAAAACTGGGATTAGAACTCTGGTCCTCTGATTCCCAAACTTGTTCTTTATACTACATTAGCAATCTGTTATAACCTTGGACCAGTCATATTTAAGGGATCAGGTGCTATAGGGAGTTTGGAAGTTTGATTCTTCATTTTAAGACCCTATTATATCATGTGCACAGGGGAGAGAAGTAGGAATTTTGAAAACATCAAGGATTGGATTAAGTTTCACATTTACTGAATGAAGCCTCCTCATTCCCACTGAAGCAGTTTTATATTGAGAGAAATGATTATTTCTTTCATGTATTAGTGCTTAATTATTGAATTAGGACCAAGGATTCTTTTCTGTTGCTCATCCAGAAATCAGCCAGTGTGGGAAATATTACTCATACCCAGCCAGGATAGCTAAGATCTGATCAAAGACATTAAAGAAATTCTAGGTTTAGTGGATTCCTGCTCATTGTGTTTACTCTGACTGGTCTGAGAAAATGTGGATTCTACCTTTTGTCAGGCAGGTGATACGGAAATTAATAAATCTCTTTGACCAAGATTTGGGTGCTCAGTGTTTCATACCCCAAGACCCTCATTGGAATATAGCTCACCTCATAATATTAATTCTTTCTCATTAACCAGTCAGAGTTGATTTTCACCCTCAGGTGCATGCCTTTTCTTTTTTTTTTTTCTTTCAGTCAACATGTCAAGATTTATTTGTGAGGCCAATAGAAGCTGGCTAGATTCTGAGTGAATCTGTAATTTAATGGGGGTAAGATTGGTACTTATATACAAGAAAAGACAGAAGATCTGGATGGGATTAAGGAGTGGGTAAATAGCCTGGAGTGGTCCAGGTGCATACAATGAACTGAGTTAAGGTGGTTGGAGAGCCACACTGAAAGGGCAGTTAAAAGGATTATTGAGTACTGGATGGGTTGGGATGGGCCAGATGCCTGAAGCAGACCACCAGGGACTGGGTTGTGTGGAAAAATTCAGGGGAACTACTTCCTGCTGGCAAGGGCCTTAGCTTTCAAAGACATAGTCTTTTCCTTTTAGAGGTCCAGGTACCATCACCCCATGAGCCTCAGACACTTGTATTTGGGTTTGTTGAATACTACACTGCCACATTTGTTTACTTTCAGATGTTATATCCACTAATTGACCACTCTGATTTTTAACAAGTAGTAAATTGGTTTGGTGATAATTGCTTTGTAATATAGCTTGAAATCTGGTACTGTGGTACTTTTAGGCCCTCTGTTTTCCTTCTATTTCTCATTATTTATTTATTTATTTAATATTATTATTAGCATGTTTCAATCTGTATTCAGTCAATACCAATTCTTTCTATGGAGGCAGATAGCATGCTTCATTAGTCCTTTGGAATTGTCTTGGATCATTGTATTGCTGAGAATAGTTACAGTTCTTCATTGAGGGCAGCTAGGTGACAGAGTGTATAGAGCACTGGCCCTGGATTCAGGAGGACCTGAGTTCAAATCCGGCCTCAGACACATAACACTTACTAGCTGTGTGACCCTGGGCAAGTCACTTAACCCCATTGCCTAACCAAAAAAACCCCCCCAAACCCAAAACAGTTCTTCATTGAACAGTATTGCTCTTACTATGTACAACATTCTCTTGGTTCTGTTCACTTTACTTTGTATCAGTTCGTGTAGGTCTTTCCAGGTTTTTTTCTGCTTGTCTTTTTTTTTTTTAATAGCACAATAATATTCCATTACAATCATATACCACAGCTTGTTTAGCCATTTCCCAATTGATGGGCATCCCTTTGATTTCCAGTTCTTAGCCGTTACAAAAAAGAATTTTATTTTTTTTCTTTCCAGCCAGGAAGGTGGAAAGTGGGAGGAATAGGAAGTAAATGTTTGTTAATTGAAAAAATTTTACTAAAAGGAATGGAAAACCTTCTTCTATAAAGATCTCTAGTGTCAAGGGTTGTAATAAAACTAGAGGACCTCATGCCACAAGCTAGCCAAACGTATGGTAGCTGGGAATATAGGTATGTTTTTATGGGAAATGATGTATTGTGAGAGGTTTTTTCAAAAATCACCAAGTTCTCTTCTGTGTGATCTTTTTTTTTTTTTACAGGTTATACATATGCAGTTATACATATGCAGTCATGCAAAACACTTCCATAGTAGTCATGTTGTGAAAAACTAAGTATATTTCCCCTCATCCTATCCTGCCCCCCAAGGTGTACCCCTTTTCAAAAGACTTATAAATATGGAAGTTTCGACTATATCAGTTGAATGCTTTCTAGACATACTCAATAAAAACAATTTTAATTTACCCAGAAACTCTTGTCTCCTGGAAATTTTCGGTCCTCACCATATGTTGCTCTTAGTTAGAAATTGACACCACTGCAATTAGCCTCTAACTTGGCTTGGTTTAGCATTGGGAAATTTATACTGTTACTTTTCTTGAAAAAAGACTATTGTGAATCAGTTTACATTGTTAAAGTTACTTTGAAATCAGTTTGTCACCAAACATAATTTCATGGACAGCAGTGCTTTTTTCTTTTAATTAAATTTTATTTTTTAATCAACAATAATCCTTTTTTCCCTCCCACTCAAATTCCCTCACCCCTATTTGAAAAAGAAAGGCAAAGCTCCTATTACCAACATGTATAATCAATAAAACACATTTCTACATTGGCCATGCCCCCCAAAGAGTGTCATTTTACACTTTGAGTGTTTCACTTCTTTATAAAGAACTGTCTGTAGCATGTTTCATCTATGGACCTCTGGAATTATGGTTGGTCTTTATGTTCATCAGAATTCCTAAGTCTTTCAGAGTTGTTTGTTTTTACAGTATTGTCATTGAATAAATTGTCCTGATTTTACTCTGCATCAGTTCATACAAATCTTCCCATATTCTGAAACCATTCCATTTATGATGTCTTACAACACAATGGTATTCCATCACGTTTATATACGATAAATTGTTTAGCCATTCCCCAACTGATGGGCACCTGTCAGATTCTAATTCTTTGCCACCTCAGAAAGATTTACAAGTATTTTTGTCTTCATTATTTAGAGTTTGTTTTACTTAGGGCTAATCCCTCTCCTAATCTGCTTTCCTTCTGATTCCTTCTTCTCCCTTCAGTTTACCTGTTGAGTGGAATTTATTTCTGTAGCCAACTATTTGTGTGTGTATGTATGTATGTGTATATATTCTTACCTCCTGTGACCACTTCATTTTCCTGAATTAGAATTCTTAGGAAAAGAAAGGGAAAAGAACTTAATCAAGGACAGAGATCTCATAGGTCAAAATACTCTTTTTCTTTTGTTATCTGAACTCTTCATTTTATTTTTTAATTTTTTAGTATTTTCCCCTAATTGCACATAAAAACATTTTAACATTTGTTTTTAAGAATTTTGAGTTCCAAATTTTATCCCTCCCTCCCACTCTTTTTTCCTCAGTGAGAGGATAAGCAATTTGATATAAATTATACATGTACAATCATACAAAACATAGTTCTATATTAGTCATGTTGTGAAAGAAAACAGACAAAAAATACTCCATAAAAAAATGAAGTGGAAAAATAGTATGCTTCAGTCTACATTTAGTCTCCATCTGGTGGGGCTGATGGGGGCAATGTGACCCCTAAAAAAAAAGGTCCTTGAACTTTTCCACAAACTTCAGGAACCCAGTCCCTGACTCATCTGTCCCATCCCAGTATAATCCTTTCAGCTGACCTTTCATTGTGGACCTCAGATCCAGCCCCAACCTTTCATTCTCTGTTGCCTCTGGACCACTCTGGGCTACTTGCCACTCCTTAATTTCATCAAGATCTTTTCATTGACTCTTTTTCCCATTTTCTCTTTAAAAGTAGCCTTCTCACCTTTTAAGAGCACACTCACCCATCATGTGTCAGAATAAACTTGATACTTGAACTGAAAAAAGGCTTAAGTGATTGATTTCTTTGGAGGCAGACCCACCCTTTACCCTTCCATTTTGGGGTTCCTAGCACCCCTAGACCACAGCATCTATTAGTTCATTGTCTGGAGGTGGATAGCATTTTTCATCATGAGTCCTTTGGAATTTTCTTGGATCATTGTATTGCTTAAAATAGCTAAGTCATTCATGCTTGATCATCGTACAATATTGCTATTACTATGTACAATGTTTTCTTGGTTCTGCTCACTTCACTTTGCATCAGTTCATCTAAGTCCATATTTTTCTGAAATTATCTTGTCATTTCTTCTAGCACAATAGTATTCTATCACAATCATATACCATACTTTGTTTATCCATTTCCCAATTGATGGACTCCCCCTCAATTTCTAGTTCTTTGCCACCAGAAAAAGAGCTGCAAATAAGTCCTTTCTCCTTTTTTTAGATGAAAATATTATTGAATTGCTACTATGAATATTTTTGACACTTTATTAACTATATAGTAGGATTCTAAGTATAGCTGTTTTGTCTTTCTTCCCCAGGTTCTCTCTCCTCCCCCCCTCTGAAAGGTTTGGTTTTTTTTTTGCTGTTATAGACTCCATACCTAAAGGATTTAGATTCCTTTTATCTCATACCACACAAATACTCATATAGATCCAGATTGAAGACCACTGTAACTGAGAACTTGCTACTATCTAAGACATCTCATTAGATTTGTGGACACTATTAGGAAATTATTCCTTTATACTGAGCCTAAATCTGCCTCCTTATAACTTCTCCCTATTTGTCCTAGTGCTACCTTGAGGGGCCAAGTAGGAAAAGCCTTATCCTCCTTCTATATGACAATTACTAATTTTTTTTGAAGTTTGTGATTATGTTTACTTTTGAAGCAGCGGTTTTCTAGGGTTCTGTTTAACATTTTTAGAAGTTACTTGGATAAATGCAGAGATGGCTTGCTAAATTTTCAGATAAAGCAAGAGCTGGGAGGATACCTTTTGAACTGAGTGACAGAGGCAGAATCTAAAAAGATTTTGAAATGCTTGAACTTTGAACTGAATCTAATAAGCAGAAGTTTAGTAGGGATAAATGGGGAAATCATTTAAACTCTCAGTGTTCCTACAGCAATGAAATCAGGTCTGAACCAAAAAAATTTTTTTTTGAGCTAATGTGTATTGTTGATTGTTAGTAGTATTGTATACATGAAATAATTATTAAAAGCAAAACGTGCAGGATTCATGAATAAGCACAGTCAAAAGTGGAAAAGTATAACTTTCTGTTTTGTCTATATGCTTTAGTGGGCATTAGAACCACTTAGCCTGAGTGACTCCATATTGAGGTTCTGTCATTATGTGACATTAAACTGTAATCAAAAAGTTTATAATTACCACATTGGTCAAGAGTGACACAGAGATTTTGGATTACTGTAAGGATTGTGATACCCATGGTAGATAGACATAGGGAAGTTTAGAAAAGGAGTAAATTCAGCAGAAAGATGATGAGATCTGTTTTGGACAATAAATCATATCATCTCTCTTAGGTGATAAAGGGCTAGAACTTAAAGTAGATAAAAGGACCAAAACTAGAATCTTATTTTCTCAACAAAAAGTAGAAGTTCTATATTGGTAATCTTATTGTAAGATCTGGAGAAATGTAATTTCTAATTATTTTTTTATCTTAACTTTTCTTTTTAGCTTTTCACAATGTCCAAGAAAAGATCTAATGGCAAACAGGAAAAGTCTGAAAGAAAGGGCGCGTCTCCTTCACGCAACGTAGATGAAAAAGTAAGAAGTCTATTTCGTGATACAAATGTAATATTTTCACACTTTTATTTTTGTATTAAAGGGGGAAAAATCAGTTTTTAGAATGACACATAGAAGATGATTTTTTCTTTTTGTCAAGGTTTGCTTATCCCAGGACAGTTATGTTATTTTCCTCATCCTTTTTTTCTTAAAAAAGGAACTTTAATGAAGATGAAATGGCATGATATTCTAATAATGTTATTTCTTAGTTTCTGTGGGTATTGTTTAGAATGACTGTAGCTTAAATTTGGGAGGAATTAGGGAGATTTGTTTACTATGTATCTCATTATGTTAGAGACTAGTGATTTAATTGACCTGAAGTGGGAATGTAAGATATTAGATGTGTAGTTTCAAAGTTTATGTGGATAAGAATGTGGAAAAGCCTTGGAGGTGGCCATCAGTGATACTAGCCAAGGTGAAGATCATTTCCTGATATGGGCAAGGTGGGTTGTTTAAAAAAACTCAAGTTGTTTTGAGTCCCTTGGAATGAATCAGATTCCTGGAAAGAAAAGGAATGGAAATAGTGTTGGTATTATAGCAGATAGAGATTTATTGTCAGCACCTCATTCAAGGTATTTTTAAAGTAGGGCATACCTCTAATATACTGGTTATGCTATTGATGGCCATAGACCTGGCACTAGGACACCAGGCTAAAGCTTCAAGTTTTGAGTGTTTATATGAACATCCAACTATAGTCACTTTTTTGTTAATGATCCCATCCTTGGTTCCTTCTCAGTAGTTTATTTTGGGAAGGGGTCCTGGTTGAATGCATGCTAATTCACTATTGGACTTGACTGACACAGTAAGGTATCAGTACCATTCTTTAACTTTTTCCTTCAGGAGAGATTTGTATGTAGCCTTCACCCTTTTCCTAATCATCATAGAAAATATGGATGAAATCCGGGAAGTTCCCTAAAATCAGTTATTCAATTAAATCATTATAGGTAAAATTATCAATTAAAATCAGGAAATTGTTAACTATTGACTAAGCATAAAGTGCTATTATATTAATAACCAATTATTCATATTGGGATCTAGAGTTTTTTCTCTTTTTACTTCCTTATTCAAAGCTCAACCCTTGTGGATCAGTCTTTGAAAAATACTTCTGATAGATGAGTTTGCCTAGGAATCCTCCCCACTCAGAAAATCTAATCTCAGTGAATTACAGCCCTAAAAGCATTAGACTCATGCATTTAAACTGGGGGGAAGGGCGGCAGGGCCATTGTTCAACTTGAGTGGTCTGAGTGGAGATGGATTCTTTTGCCCTTTGTGCAAAAGTCTCAAGCCACAGAGAAGTCTCTGCTGAAGGGATTGAGGGCTTTTAGCCCGCCCCCTCATTAGAAAAAGTCTACCTACTTATTAATAGTTAATCAGTTAGGGTTGATTTTCACCTGTCAAGGGCAACCCACTTTTCCTTGATCTCCCTGGTTTTGTCTTTGGTTAAGAGAGACTACTAACTGTCAATTTGTTGATTATTTACTAACCTAATAAATTATTAATTACACAGAAACTCTGTCTCTTGGACTTATTCATCTCACCTGGGAGGAAGGTGCTCTTATTATATCCCATTTTATAGATGAGGAAACTGAGGCATACAGAGATTAAGTGACTTGTCCAGGGTCACACAGCTAGTAAATGTCTGAGGCTGGATTTGAACTTAGGCTTTTTTGACTCCAGTCCAATGCCCTATCACCTTCACCACCTGCCTGCCTAGGTTAGCAATTGTGGTTAGCAATCAAAAGATTCATCTGAGAAGTTTTTTTTCAGTGCAGAACATTTGTTGATTTAGCTTACTAGAAGACAGAAGGACCAAGGTGAGAGCCATAGTAGTATATTGTATTCATTCACAAGTTAATGTGGACTACTACTGACTGCTGTTGCTAATTTTGTAATCAGAAGTCATGTATTGTATGCTGACTTTTGTTGTGTATTTGTGATTTAATGAAGGGAGATTTTAGTTGTTCATTTACAGTTGCTAACAAGGATCAATAAAACAGGAGTTCTTAACTTTTTTGTGTGTCATGGGCTACTTGGCAATGGTGAAGCTTTCTTATGATGTTTTAAAATACATAGGGTTACAAAGAAAACCCATTATATTGAAATAAAGATGCAATTTTTTTCCCATCCACGTTCATGAACTTGCTGACATCTATTCAGGAACCCTTTTTTGGTCTAGAAGCCCCAGCAGGGAACACCTGCTCCTAAGCATCATTATCCCCAGAGAGTGAATTTCTAGGGGATTCCTGACTTGTTCAAAGTGACAGAAGCCACACAGTAGACCAAGATTACTGTTTTGAAAGATTTCCAAACTCAGCATGAAGACAACCTTGTTTCTCCTGGTAAGCAGAGTCTCCTGGCTTTGTGACTTTGGGCAAGTCACTTCTCTTCTGGGAAATGAGGAGGTTGAATTTAATGATTTATAAAATCCAGCTCTCAGTCTGTGATCCTGTTAGTGCTGGGACCTAGATTGACTTACTTAGGGGCTTCAGCATGAGAGAACCTTTTGTTAACAAGATGACCACTTATTTTTAGGACCTTCTTATGGGCTGCCTTATGAGGAGCAGTTTTGTCCACTTTTTAAGTAAAGCCTGGATGACCACTTGTTGGGAATATTATAGATGGGCTTCTTCAGGTATGGACTAGGTGGCCTCTAAGATTCCTTCTGTCACTGAGGTCCTGTGATTCTTCCTGTCAGCTCTTCCTGTTTATATAAGGTTACTTACTCTGAGTGTGGGGAGAGAGGTGACTGGGAACCATATGTCCTCATCTGCCGCCATCAGTAGATCCTATTGGATTCATTCATTTTTTAATAAACATTTATTAACTATTACTTGAAAAGTCCTTGAGGGCAAGAATTTAGTTGTTTTTTGTCTTGGTGCACCCAGGGCCCTGCACAGACTAGTCTCTTAATGCTTATTGAAATGGATAGACTAACCCTGAAGGCCAACTAAAGCTTAAAGAATCATAGACTCTTAGAATGTTACATTGAAGTAACCTTGGGAGGTCATTGGATATACACTACTCACTTTTACATAAGAAATCAAGTCTCAGAAAAATTGTGATGTCCTCACTGTCATAAAATAGTTCTAGGTCTAGGAGTAGAACTCAGGTCAGCTGCATTTCAAGTTTGTATTGTTTTCTATCTCACCTGCTTCCTCAACTTACCTTTTATGTAACTTCTGCATCATTACATTCTTATACCTCTAATATCTCACAGGTATTATCTGTTGAGCACTAATAAGTATAGAATAACTCTTTTTATAGCATTTTTAAAAATTGAATCTTCTCCTCCTCCCTTTTTCCTCTTGGAATTCTTAGGAAAAGAAACAGAAAAGAATCTCTTCGAAAGCACCAAGTCCGAGTATCTTGTCTTACTCCAGATGTTCAGCTTCCTTAGGGAAGAGAAAGTTGGTGAGTTTTATCTATCCTTACTAATTTTCTTGTTTCTTCCCCTCATTCTTTTTTGTTAATCTTTTCTTTATAATAATCTTGTACTTTGATTTTCTTTTTTTTTTCTTTTTGGCTGTAAATTTTAACTTTTTCCTCATCAAAAGCCATATATTAATAGCCTAACTGCATTTATGTATACTAATTGTTGTACCTGTAGGACTAGCATACACGTCCACATGTTTAAAGAAAACCCCAAAGTGTAGTAACAGAAATGATAAATGAATTCATGAAGGGACATGTAATACTTACCTAGTGTATGAACAGTAGGTACACAAGGGATTGAAAGTGAGGCATATTACTTTGGTTAATGCCAAGAAGAATAGCTGTGAGAACTCCATTATGTGTAATGTAGAATGCTTTAAGCATTTTGGCTTCATAGAACTTAACTTTCATTCCAATTTATTTTTATCAGATTGATCTTCATATCATTCTTTAAAAAAAAAACCAAACTTCAGTGGATCTCTTGTTTATAGGTTAAAGTATAAGAACTCCCTTTTCTGGCATCTAAGATTTTTTTTAACGGATCTTATCCAGCTTATCCAACATTATCTCCCATTATTACCTATATGTATATTCTCTTCCATCTTGCCTAGTCTCCTTACTATATGCACCATACTTGAACTTATCGTGCTCATTTCCAGTTCCAAGACTTGGAAGGCCTTCACAGTTTACCTATCGATGTCTGCGATGTTGTATTGAAATAAGATTTACCACTTATCAGTGGTGTGACCTTAGATGAGTCACTTAAGTTCTGAGCTTTTCTTTTTTTTTTTTGTGAGGCAACTGAGGTTCAGTGACTTGCCCAGAGTCAGACAGCTAGCGAGTGTTATGTGTCTGAGGTCGGATTTGAATTCAGGTCCTCCTGATTCCAGGGCTGGTGCTCTATCCACTGTACCACCTAGCTATCCTGAGCTTTGCTTTTCTAAATTACATTTGCATTATGTACTTTATAGGGTCTTTGTGAGAAAAGCACTTTATGAACAATAAAGTAATTAGCTATTATTGTTATCCTTCAAAGCCCAGCTCTAGTTCTAATCAATTCCCTCCCACCTACTTAATTTCTCTTTTCTTTTTTTTTGTGAACTATTGTAGTAACAGTGACCCTCTTATCTGAGAGCCTTGCCTCCTATTTCACTGAACAAATGTAGGCCATTCACCAAAACCTTCCTCTTCTTTATTCCTCCTCATTTTACTTCACTTACATGATGAGTTTAAGATATCTATGGGACATCCAATTTGAGATGTCCAACAGGCAATTGCAAATGTCAGACTGGAGGTCAGGAGTGAGGGATCTGAGCTAATGAAAGAGAAGAGGGATAGGGTAGCTGAAGTAGATTGCATCAAATCAAGAGCACTGGTACTAAGCACATAACTTTTCTCTCACCACCCTCTTCTTCTTTATAAAGAGATGGCAGGAAACAAAGAAAAAGGGAAAATTCTTGATCTATCCATTCCTGCTAGCATTCAGTATCTCTCTTCCCTTTCATGGCTAAACTCCTTGAGAAAGCCATCTAGAGTTAGCAAGGTGGCACAGTGGATAGAGCTGTTGAACCTGGAGTCAAGAAGGCCTGAGTTTATTTCCTGCCTCAGATACTCAGTAGCTGTATGACCCTGGACAAGTCACTTAACATCTGTATGCCTGTTTCCTCAGCTATAAAATAGAAATAATAATAATGATATCCACTTCCCAGGATTGTGGTGAGGATTAAATGAGATAATGTTTGTAAAACACTTAGCGCAGTTCCTGGCACATAGCAGGCACTTAATAAATGTTTGTTTCCTTCTGACTATAATCTATGCTTTCACTTCTGTCTTCTCTCTTCTGAAGTTTCTGTAATCTCGCTTCCAACCTTATTCAACTCAAACTAATCTCTCCAAAGTTAGCAAGGATCTCTTAATCACCACATCTAATGGCCTTTCCTCAGTCTTTATCCTCCTTGACCTCTTTGTAGCCTTTGACACTGTCATTCACCCTCTTCTTGATATTCTTTCTTTTCTGTGTTTTCATGACATTATTCTTTCCTGTTCTATATGTGTGACCTTTCCTAAGTCTCCTTTGTTGAATCTAGGTCATGCCTCCTAACCAGGGGTAACCCCTAAAGCTCTGTCTTGGGCCCTTTTCTCTTTTCCCTTTGTACTGTGTCATTTGGTGATCTCCTCAGGTCTCATGAATTCAATTAACATCTCTGTGCTGATGATTCTCAGATCTGTTTAACCAGCCCTACTCTCACTTCTGATCTCCCATCTGGCATCTCCAGCTGTCTCTTGGACATCTCAAACTGGATGTTTCATAGATATCTTAAACTCACCATGACCAAATTGAACTCATTCTCTTTCTCCCCAAGCACTCTCCTCATCTTAAACTCACCATGACCAAATTGAACTCATTCTCTTTCTCCCCAAGCACTCTCCTCTTCCTAACTTTCCTCTTACTGCTAAGGATACCACCATCCAGTCCTAGGTGTCATCCTGAACTCTTCAATTTTTTTTTTTCACTCCTTCATATCTAATATGTTATTAAGCCCTGCCAATTTTGCTTTTACAGCATCTCTTTGTGTATTCTGTCTTCTTCCTTTTGATACTTGGGCTGTTTTGGTGTAGGCCCTCATTACCTAATGGCCTGGACTATTGTAATAGCCATTCCAGTACACCTTCCATTCAGCTGCTAAACTGATCTTCCTAAAGTACAGGTCTGACTATGTCACTTCCCTATTCATTAAACTTTGCAGGGCTGCCTATTATCTTCAAGACCTAATACAAAATCCTCTTTTTTCTGCTTGGTTTTTAAAGCCCCTTTTTAACCTGGCCCCTCTTACCTTTCCACTCTTTTTATACTTTACTCCTGTCCATGTACTCTGCTAACTAGTGACACTGTTCTCCCTGTTCTCTCTACCTTTTGATTCTGCATATTTACTTGTTCTTTCTCATTCCTGGAATGCTGTGCTTGCTTATATCTACCTTCTCTTCTGGCTTCCTTCATGTTTCAGCTTATATCTTACCTTCTGCAAGAGGCCTTTCTTTATCCTCTCAATTGCTACTACTTTCTCTCTAGTTTACCTTATATATAGCTTGTTTGTACATATTTGTTTGCATGTGTTCTCCTCCATTAGAACATAAGTTCCTTGAGGACAGAGACTGTTTTTGGCTTTCTTTGTATCCCTGGTGCTTAGTACATTATTTGGAACATAGAAAGCACTTAATAAATGCTTATTTATTTGGCCATATTCTCTAAACCAAAAATGGGCTTGTGTGGCGTGACAAATTAGAGTAATTTTTCAAATCATTAAATCATTTAAAATAAAAATCAGAAGTATCTTAGATTCAGAATATTTGATCATTTTTCATAGGGTCATTGATATTGATAGAACTGGAAAGGAGTTTAGAGATCATTTAGTGCAAACCCATCATGTTATAGCAAAGAAACTGAGACCTAGAGAAATTGCTGCCTTGTTTTGCTGTCACACTGTTTTTTATATGTGTCTTGATTATTCCCAACTAGTCTGTAAGCCCCACAAGGGGAGGAAACTTTTTTTTAAAAAATGTTATCAGTGCTTTGCATAGTTTGTGCTCATTCAGTTCTTCTGATGCATAGATTTCCTTTTTCAGAAATCTGATTATACAAACATTTTATGCTGTGATCCAAAAAAAAGAGAAGACCTTCAAAGGTAAATTCCTTATTGTGCTAACATCTTTATACTTTTTTGGTTAATATGAATGGTGAAGCCCAAGGTAAATAAAACTAAGAATAGATTTTGAATTTGTGTAAGATGTGGAAAATCCTTTATTTAGTTTTGGTTTAACTATTTTCTTCAATTTTTGCACATAAATATTGTCTCTTACTGACATTATACAGAAATTCTGGTTGTAATTAACAATCAAGTTTTGTCAGCATCACCTTAAGCAAGAACATTTTCAGTGAAGTAAAAATTCCATCAGTTAAATATAGATTTCAGTCATAAATAATTCAACTTTGTTTCATCCTTACAAAATTTACTTAAAGCACTAGCGTGATAATTTAAAAAGCAAATCTATAAAATTTATACTATATCTGTGAAGTCTGTATAAAATTTATATTGATATCTTTGTTGAATTGCTTGGTAGCAGAAACAGCTAGGAGAACTGATGAGATAGCTATGGAGCATTGTACAAATAGAGGGTAGAATTGTAATATATGGTCAAAGGATATAAGCAGGCAGTTTTCTAAGGAAGAAATCTAAATCAATAGCCATATGAAAAAATGCTCCAAATCATTAATAATTAGAGAAATGCAAATTAAATAAACTCTGAGGTTCTGTCTCCCACTCACTAGGTTGGCAAAGTTAACAAAAATGGAAAATGACAGATGTTGATGCACTCTTGGTAGAGCTGTGAATTGTTTGACCATTCAGGAAAGCATTTTGGAACTGGCCAAAAAGTTACTGAACTCTGCATAGCCTTGACCTAGGATTACCACTACTAGGCTTATGTCTCAGATCAAAGAAAGAAGAAAAGTATCCATGTATACAAAAATATTTATAACAGCTCTTTCTGTGGTGTCCAAGAATTAGAAACTGAGAGATTCCCATTAGTTGGGGAATGCCTAAACATTAAATTGTGGCATGTGATGTAATAGAATACTATCATGTTCTAAAAAAATGGTAGATAATTTCAAAGAAACTTGGAAAGACTTACATGAATTGATACAGAATGAAGTAGGAAGAACAGAAACAATTTATACAACAATTTTAATAACAAACAGCTTTGAAAGATATAGGGACTGATCACTTCAATGACCAGTTATAACTCAGAGGACTTATGATAAAATGCACAACCCAACTCTAGACAGAGAGGTCATGGGACTCATTCAGAGGGAGACATATAATTTTGGACATGGCAAATATGAAATTAAATTAAAAACAGTAATATAAATTAAATATTTTATTTTCCCCCCAATTACATGTAAAATTATTAACATTCATTTAAAAATTTTTTGAGGGACAGTTAGGTGGTACAGTGGATAGAGCACCACCTCTGGAGTCAGGAGGACCTAAGTTCAATTCCGGCCCCAGACACATAAGACTCTCTAGCTGTGTGAATCTGGGCAAGTCACTTAACCCCAATTGCCTTACCAAAAAAAAAAATTTTTTTTTGAATTCCAAATTCTTTCCCTTCCTCCTTCCCATTGCAGTTTGATATAGGTTATACATATGCAGTCATGCAAAACATATTTCCATGTTAGTCATGTTGTGAAAGACAACACAGACAAAAAAAGTCCAAGAAAATAAAAAGTATACTTCTGTCTGCATTAAGATTCCATCAGTTCTTTCTCCAGAGATGGAAAGCATTTTTCATTCTAAGTCCTTCAGAATTGTCTTGGCTTGTTGTATTGCTGACAGTAGCTAAGTCATTCACAGTTGATCATCAGCCAGATTTTGCTGTTACTATAGTGTTCTCTTGGTTCTTCTCATTTCATTTTGCATCAGTTCATATTAAGTCTTTTCAGGTAAAAACAATATAAATAGGGTAGGAAAGAAAAAATAATCCTCTGTTATTTGAATAGATTGTGAAGGAAGTTTGAGAAATACAAAAATAAATAAAAAAATCATGAATGCCCTAAGACCGTAAAGTTCTTTGAGGGCAGGATCTATTTACTAAACTTCTTTGTATGCTTCATCATGACTGACACCATACTACACATTTTATATATACTGAGTTAAAACTTGCTGAATTGATGTGGACCTCGAACCATACGAGTATTACACCTCTAGACTATTAAGAGATATAGAACTAATAGAACTAGCATTCTAGTGGAAACAGTGTATCTGAAATCCCAAAGGTTTTCCCCACTATTCTTTGAGACATTTGTTATATAAAATGTATTTCTTATTTAAAAAAACCTTATTGATATATATATATTTTTAATATCACCTACATTCCTGAATATATCCCCTGCTTAATGAGCCATCCTTTAGAACAAGGAATGAAAAAGAAAAAGAAGGCAAAAGCAGTTCATCAAAACTTAATTCTTACAGTCTGCACAATGAATAATCCACGCTCATGATCTCCCATCCCTGCAGAGAAGGAAAGGATATGCCTTTTCATCTCTTCTCAACTAAGTTTGTACACTATAATTACATGACAGCTTCATTTTTGTTGTCCTTTCCATGTATGTTGTTGTAATCATTGTATGCTTTCATAAGTCTTCCCATGCCTCTCTGAATTCTTCATATTTGTTGTTTCTTACTGTACAGTACTATTACATTCCCATACAGGTTTGTTTAGCCATTAGACCATAGATCTGGTCAGTGGACAATTACTTTGTTTACAGTTTATGCTAGTAGAAAAAATAGTGGTGTGACTGTTTTGTTATATGTGGGACCTTTCTGTCTCTGACCTCTCCCTGGAGTATATGCCTAGTAATGGGATCTTTGGGTCAAAGGTAGTGGGCATTTTAACCACAATTTTAGCTTAATTCTAAATTATTTTCCAGGATGGTTGGGCCAATTTATAGCTCTCCTAACACTGTACTAGTGTGCCATTCTTTCTCGAGCCTTTCTAGTATTGGGTAAGAAGGAAGGAAGGAAAGAAGGAAACATTAAGTGCTTATGATGTGCCAGATAGACAAAGATACTATAAAGCCAGGAATAAGTCCAGGAGGGGAATGAAGGTAGGCATGGTCCCCTCCACAGAATGGAGGTCTCAAGAGGAATTCATCAGTGGGAGAGAAGGTTATTTCCATCTTTTGTCATCTTTGCCAATTTATTAGTTGACAGGTAAAGTTGCTGATTTGTTTTGCTTTGCATTTCTCTTGTTTTTTTGGTATTTGTAGTGATCTTTCATATACTTATTAGTAGTTTATAATTCTTCTTTTGGTAACTCTTTGACCATTTGTCCCTTTGGGATATTTGGGTTGGTGTGGATATTGGACCCTTATCAGATATTTGCTACAAATTTTTTTTTCCAGTCAACTCCTTCCCTTTTTGTCCTAGAGGATAGATAGAATTCGTGCAAAAGCCTTTCAATTAATATAATTCAGATTATTTTATCTTTTGTGATCATTTCTATTCCTTAATTGTTTGAGAACACTTTCTGAGCTATAACTGAAAAGCATTTCATCTTCATTTGATTCTCTATTTTTTTTTTCCTTTATGGCACATAAAATCCATTTTGAGTTTATCATGAATAGAATTTAGCATTTTGGTCTAAATCTAATTTTTGCTAAACTGCTTTCCAGTTTTTTCCCAGTAGTTCTTGTCAGAGAGGGAGTTCTGCAAATAATTTATGTTTTCAAGCTTATTGTACACTGAGTTATTCCTTATCTAGTCTCTTCCACTGATCTACTTTTCTTTTTTTTAATCTGCACCAAATAGTTCAAATGATAAGTGCTGTATACTATAATTTGAGATCTGAAAGTGCTATTTTCCCTTTCATTTCTATTTTTTCTTAATTCCTTTGCATTTCTAGACCTTTTATTCCTCCAAAGAATTTTGTTATTTTGTTTAGCTCTTTAAAGTATCACTTTGATTTCATTGGCATAGGACAAATTTTATAAATCAATTTAGGTATTGTTGTTTTTAATTATGTTGGCATTTATTTGTGTTTAGTAGAGGTTTACAGTGTTGGATCTTCACTGGTTATGAATACGTAGCGTAAACTGTGTACTTAGATATCATATGTCTTTGTGAGTGACCCAGGGACACATGTAACCTCTCGAAGTTTTAATTTCCTCATCAGTAAAACTGGGATAAATAATACCTATAGTACTCATTTCCCTGATTTGTTGCAAGGATCAAGAGAAGTAATGCACATGAAGCACATTATAGGCCTTAAAGTGCTACGTCAGTGTAAGACATTACAATATATTGTTATCAATTGGATGTTAATCAGATATGTCTACTTTGATTTTGAATTGTTATAATATTCAGTGGAATTTGGTAACCATGACTTAAATTCATCTTATGTCAGTTTATGCTTTACACTATTCCAGTATAAGTTTGAGAGTGTCATAGTGTATAAGTCATCCTGTAACTTAATTTTTCTGCACCACTTTGTAGGTTGGATGTAGAAACAGGCACTCAAAAGAAGAAACAAAAAATCAGTTCTTTTTCATCCCAAGAGCCTGATAGACTTCAAAAGAAATCATTTGATGACAGTCAAAGTACTTCTCACAGTCAATCTTTAAGTAGAAGTGAGAAAGGAATACAGAAGTATGATTTCAAACATGAAGATGTAAAATTGAAAAATGGGAACAACCAGAGTGATTATGACCTCAAAAGTAATAGCCTCACGTTTGCCAAGAATGCACAGCCCAGGTCTGAAGCTCCAACAGGTGAAAGGAAATGGCCTCATTATCTTGCTCAAAGGGAAAAGGTGAAAGGATTAAAGAAGAGAGAAAAGATCAATAAAGTCAAAGATAATTTAGGAAAACCTTCACTTGAGAAGTACATCAAAGATGAATTTGCCAAGGAATGCACTTCCAGAGCCTTGAGTAAAGAAGTACTTGAACCTGAAAGATGCAAAATCAGTTTCAAAATTGCTACAAAATCCAGTGGTAGTCTTCAAAAACCAGTAGAGGATAATGTTTTAAATTCTAAAATTCATAAACCAAAGCCTTCATGTGAGAAAAAAGAGAGCCTTCAGAATCCTCCAAGTTTTTCTAGACACAAAGTTAAACATTTATCACCATCAGATTCTTCATATAAGTCGTCTCACTATAAGTGGAAGGAAAAATGTCATCCTGATCATTCCAGCCAAAAAAGAAATAATTCACAACCGGAAGAAACTTTCTTTCCTGAAACAGTATCATTAAAACAGGTGGAGTGAATAAATATTTTGGTCAAAATATTTTGATAGTAGAGTAAGCTTTAAAAGTGGTTCTGTTTTGGAGATATTTCCCACTTGGAAAGTTGGTTAATATGAGAGTTGCTGAGAATTTTCTTGTTTTTAGGCCTTAAACATCATTACATAATAGAGTAAAGTGTGGGAAAGGAGGGAGCCCACCTGTCCTTTCTTCCTTAATTGTGAGGGGGTTGGTTCTTTTGTGCTCTTGTAGGGCTTTTATTAGGCACTTGAGTAGGTGTATGTTTTCTACTTTGGTAAAATTTGCTTTTACAAGGTGCTGATGAATGTATGTTCCGAGAGGGAAGGGAGTGTTTTACTTTTATCTTTGTATCCTTGAACTTTGCACAGCACGTATTAAATACTTTATAAATGCTAGTTATTAATTAACTGATTTGGTGGGAAAGGTTTTCATCAAAGTGGTCCTTTTAGCTATTTTACTGGTAGCCAGCTGCCAGAAAAAGACAAAAGATGAAAACAGGAACCCTAGTATCCCTTAGCCCCTATACAGGGCAGCTTTCAGTTTTCCAGTGCATCCAGTTCCAGTGCAATCCAAATTACAATTTATATTGATTTTGCTCTCTCAATTTCCTAGTTCATTTTTAGAAATGAATGCTTTTCCTGCTGGATTCTGTTCAATTCAACAAGCATTTATTAAGCAACTACTATGTGTTAGAAGGCACCAGAAGTACAAGAAGCAGTTGCTTCCATCTAGGAGCTTAAATTTTCTTGAGAGATACGACATGTAGGCATATAAGTAAATGAAATGTATAGAAGAGTAATTTCAGAGGATGTTAGGGGAAGATCCCTAACAACTAGGGGAACAGTAAAGGCCTTCTGTAGGAGTTGATACCTCAACTGAGCTTTGAAGGAAACTAGAGATTTTAAGAGGTGGATGAATATGAGGAAAGAATGCTTGGAAAGCATAGGGGGAAGACAGCAAGTGTGTGTGTGTGTGTATGTACACATATATATACATATATATATATACACATATATAATTTTTAGTGAATAAATACAAATACTTAAAAAGTAGTTAAGTACAATGTAGTTCAGGAGGATGGGTACTAGAAGTTGGAGGGATTTGGAAGGGTCATGCAGAAGATGGTGTTTGAACTACTTAAATGAACAGAGGGTCTTTGAGGCAAAAGATTAGGAGAGAGTACATTCCACGAATTGGGTGATAAATCAGTACCAAGGCATGGGGACAAGAAGATGAGGCATTGTTTGTGAGGAACAGAGAAAAGGCCTGTTTGGCTGAACCGTTGAGTATGGGAAATTGGTTAAGTGTATATTGAGGCTGGAAAGATAGATTGGGGCCAGGTTGTAGGTCTTTAAGAACTCAACAAAAGAGCTTATATTTTCCCTACCAAAAAAATAGGAAGCCACTGGAATTGATTGAGTAGGGAAGAATGGTCAGGTCTGTGATCAAGGAAAGTTACTTTGGATGGACTGAAATAGTTAAAGACTTGAAGCAGAGATGACTTAGGAGGCTGTTGCAATAATCTGGCCATAAGGTGAGGAGGAGCTGATCTAAGGTGGCAGCAGTGTAAATGGAGAGGAGTTGGATGAGAGAGATGTCATGAGGGTAGAAATGGCAAGGTTTGGCAACTGGTTACGTATATAGGGTGACAGAAAGTGAGAAGCTAAGGCTATTGCCAAAATTATGAACCTGGGAGCCTGAAGGATGATAGTACCTTCAACAGAAGTAGGAAAGTTTTAAAGAGACAGTTTGGGAGGAAAGTTTGAGGTTAGTTTTGGACATATGTTTGAAATGTCATCTGCATAAGGGTGATAATTGAACTCCTAGGGGTTGAAGACAAACCAAGAGAGGCAGTGTAGAGGGGAAAGAGAACATGGTCTAGGATAGAATTTTGGAAAACACCCACAATTATTAGCATGATATAGATGATAAGTATGGAATGGAGGAAAACACAACACTGGGTCATGAAAACCCAGAGAGGAGAAAATATTCAGGAGGAGAGGGTAAAGGATGGCTACTTGGTTGTGAACCTGGGTGAATATAAAGATACTGGTACCTTAAACAGACAAGGTGAACTTTGGAGGAAGGATTGGTTTTGGGGAAAATATAATAAGTTCCATTCTGTATATGTTGGATTTGAGATTCCTGTGGGATATCCAGGTTGACATCTCCAGCAGGCAGTTGATAATGTGGAGCTGAAATTCAGGAGAGGTATAAAGGCTGGGCCCATAGATTAGGGAGTCATCTGCATAGAGATGATAATTGAATCCTCTGGAATTGAAGCTATCTCTACTGGAGAGTGTAGAGAGAGAAGAGAAGGCCCAGTACAGACTACAGATTCTTGGGGGACACACCTACAATAAAGCCATTGAAAAAATACTACTGGTTAGGATGTAGTCTTAGAATCTGGTATATTCTTTATCATTAACTAATAGAATTAATTTTTATTTAGAGTTTTGAAGCAGCGCATTCTTCTAATTCGAGTGATTGTGTTCAAGATACAGATCAAGAGGTTAGTGTTCTTATTTATTTCTAATGTATTAAATATATTTGCTAAATTGAGTTGTTCTTGGTTCATTGATACTAAAAATGATGTGAATATAATTTTAAGACAAGTTTGATACTGTTGTTGCTATACTATAATCATTATATATAATTATGTACTATATAGTCATTGAGAGAGCATTATGTAGTAAAAGGACCTCTAGATTTGCAATCAGAGGACATCTGTTCAGATTCAGCCTCTGTCATTTACTACTTGTTTGACCCTAAACAAGTTACTTTACCTCTCTGGGCCTCAGTTTCATCGTCTGTAAAATGATGAGGTTAGACTAAATGGCCTCTAAGGACCCTTAGAGCTCTAGCTCTAAATATATAATATGTGATTTATGAACCTATGTAATTTTGTGGTATAGATTCTTCCAAAGGCCTTTATCTAGAAAAACATTTTAAAATGTTCCTACTTCATCATCTGATTTTTTGCCTTTATTATTTTAACAGACTGCATGTGTCTTAAGCTTTTATTATAACAAACACTGAAAGATATTTCCATTTGTACTTGTAGTTGCAAAAATGTAGCATGGCATTAGAATATTTTGGCTACATTTATTATCTTAAAAGACAACAAAATGAGGATATTGTTCTTGGAAATTATATGCATGTCTGTCACCATTGCAATATGGGAAGAGGGAAAGCCCGGTGCATTTCTCCTTTAATTGGCTTCAGTTTAGTCCTGAAATAGGTTTTTAGTTATTATATTTACTTAATGGAGTTTATTTCTTAATCTAATAATTATAGGTACATAGGATGTTTTTAATTTTTCTTTTAAAAAGTTTCAAACTTCATTAAATTGCTGATTATTTTTATGACCCTCAATTTTTTATGGTCCTCCTTGTAGTATAAGAAGCCTTTTTTCTTTTTCCTGATTTAAATTTATTATACCTTTTAGCTTCTTTGTTTAGTTTTCCATTAGGAAATTAATTTCTTCAAATTGGTCAGGCCTGAAGATCCAGTTTGTAATCCGGAGTTGTTCTTAAACTTTTTTTTATTACTCTGAGGAAAAACATCAACCAACTACATTTCAATATATTAGGATGTTAAAGTTTTAAACTTTTTTTCTTTCTATACTTCCTATACACAGATCTTCTGTCTTGAATATAGATGGTTTTCATTTTCTTATTACTTGGAAGTTGTAAACTCAGAATACATTTAAATGTGAATCTTTCTGCAATTCATTAAAAAAAAAATCAGCTTCACAAATGCAAGATTAGGAAGGCATTACTACACAGCAGTTAGTCTGTAAATGATCTGAGGGTTTTAGTGTACTACAAGAATAATGTGAATTGGTATGGTGATTTGGTAGCCAAGAAAGCTAGTGTGATCTTGGGCTGCTGTGAAAGAGACCTAGATGCCAGGAAAAATAAAGTGCTAATTCTGTTGTCTGCAGCCCTTGCCTGACCACATTGGGAGTATTGTGTTCTATTCTAGGAACTGTTATAGGAAGGACATGGATAAGCTTGTAGAGGAGCGCAGCCAGGAGAATGGAGGACTTTGAATTCATGCCGTATGAGGATTAGTGGAAGGAATGGAATCTTTCACTTGGGAAGAGAACACTGGCTAGTGGGGTGGAGAGGGTGTAGTGGTATAGGGGGAACAGAGATATGAGAACTGTCTTGAAATATTTGAAAGGCTGTCACCTGGGAGAGGGATTGGCCATGTTCTGCTTGGTCCCAGAGGGCAGAACGAGGAGCAGTGGGTACAAGTTGTAAAGGTCCATTTTGGACTTGATGTAAGGAAGAATATCTTAATAATTAAAATTGTTCCTAAGTACAGTGGGCTGTTTTTAATGTGGTGGGTTCCCCTTCACTTGAGATCTTTAAGTAAAGACTAGATGACCACATATCTGTTATAGAGGAGGTCCTTTTTTCAGGTACAGGTTGGATTAGATGGCCTCTCAGGTCCCTTCCAACTGTGAAATTCTGTGATTCTGTGATAGATGCAGATAGTAGAAGAGCTTCATGCTGCTCGTGTGGGGAAAAGTATGGATTTGCCTGTGGTGCCAGCTTCTGGAGACTGACAAGTATGGAAATTGACTTGGCTGAAGATGATGTGCATCCTTCTGTTGGTATGTCCTCTATGTTAATGTTGATGGTTTCACATGGTCTCTTAGAATTTCTGCACATTAACTCATTATTTTGACTACATTAACATCAGGAGGAAATACTGAGTCCAAATTGTTTTAAAGAAATTGTGCATTTAATAGTCTTCAGTGACAGAGGGTAATGTATTTCCAATATTCTGCCATGTCATAATTTGTTATATTCTTCAAGTTACAAGGCAGTTAGGTATGGTTTTTGCTTCCTGACACAAGATTTTTATTGTAATATACATATTTTTAATTATAGTTTTTACTTAATTTGGGTAAGGGATAGTCATCAAAGTTTTGACCTTTCAGTTTTTCCTTCTCAACTGTAATTGTATACTAATGAAGATTTTTTTTTCTCTGTTAAGGCACTGACTAGATGTAATGTGAATTGTAATGTGTGGAGAAAGTGTCATCTTGGATTTATCCTGGCTATACAGTCAGATCTTGTTTATCCTTGGTAATGGGAAGGAATAGTGGTATAGATAATTTCCAAATCATTTGTTAACTTTGGAATGTATATATTATATTGTTTACCTTATTAATTATGTTTAGTTACAGACTGATTTTAATATTAGATTATTATTGATGTACATACCAACTGATGATAGGATAAGTTGGTTTAAAAGCATGATAAGCGGCAAGAGGAAGTCCATTTAATTCAACAAACATAAGTATCTGCTGAGGGTAAAACGCTGTGATAATTGTGAGGAGAGAGAAAATTTTAAATAAGGAAGCATGTTTGTTGCTCTCATGGACTTTGTAGTATAGAAGGCAAATAAGATACATAGGTAACTCTAATATGTAAATAATATGTGATAAGTTCACTGTAGAGTTACAAGTCAGAGGTATAGAGCTGTTATCAGCAGGATGCATTGGGGAAAGTTTCACAGAGGAGATGGAATTTGAGTTGGGCTTTAAAGAATGGCTGTTGATTCACTTGGTGATTGGGGGGGCAGAAACATTCCAGGAGAGGGGGATAGCATAGGCAACGACATGGGAGCAACAAAGAGTTGGGTATGTTTGGGAGATTGACTCTGTAGTTATTGAGAGACTGTGTAGTTGGACTGGAGTGAGGAGTCCATTCAGGGATATAATGTGAGATAAAGCTGGAGAGATAGGTTGGTGCCAGATGTTGAGGTTCTTAAGAATAGGCAAAGGAATTTTAATTTTATACAGTAGTGAATAGGGAGCTAGTAAAGATTGTTAGTTGAGGCATGATTTGACCAGATCTTTGTACAAGGCAGTGATATAAATAGTGGGGCAGAATTTGGAGGTAGGAAGACTTATTTGGAGACTATTGCAGTAGTCCCTGCAGGTGGTAAAGAAGGTGTATGCTAGAGTCATTGCTGTGAGAATAGTGAGGCTGCAGTAGTAAGATGTGGAAATTTAAATAACAGTATAGGACTGTGTCTGAGTGAGGCCACCCAGATTCTGGAACTGAGAGACTGAGTGAATGCAGAAGCTCCTAATAAGACAGTAGAATTGTAAGGAGTAGCAGGATTTGGGTGAAAGTTGATAAGCTTGGTTTTGGACTGTTGAACTTGAGGTGCCTGTGGGAGGTCAAGGTAGAGATGTCCTGTAGGCAGTTGAAGCTATATTATATATCTAAATCTCAGATAAAGGATCTGAGTTTGAGATTTATATTTGGAAACTTTTTTTAAAAATGGCAGGTGATGTCATGGAAGTGAATGAGATTGCCAAGGGGAAAAGAAGATAAAGGTCATCAGAGGGTTAAAGACAAGACCTTAGAGAGCATTTATTAGAGGGTGTAAAAGAAATGAGGAACCTGTGAGAGAAACTGAAAAAAAGTATTTATAAAAATAGGAGGAGGACCAGGAGATGGTAGTATGTCTAATGCTAATGAAGGGTAGGAGTACCTAATAAAGAAGGGGTTGTCAAAGGAGGATGCCAAGAGAATATGGGCTAGGAAATGGCCACTGGATTTGCCTTGTAGGATGTCACTGATGTCTTTTGAGAGAGCAGTGAGATGCAAATTAATTCAATTCAAGAGCATTTAGTAAATACTTCCTATCTGCAAGACACTGGCCTAGAGTTATAGATAGGAAAATGAAAATCAGACCCTGACCTTGAGGCGCTTATATTCTACTTGAGCCACAAGGTCTTATTGCAAAGGGGCTGAAAAGAACGAATGGTAAAGATGTGGAGGTATTGCGTGTGGACTTTTTTTTCCCCCCAGAAGTTTGACAGTGATGGGGAGGCAGGAGGAGAGGATGATAGTTGGATAATATAGAAAGTCCAAGGGAAGGCCTTTTTTTTTTTCATATTGAGAAGAATTGAGAAAGTTGGGAAATATGGGAAAGAGCCAGTGATGAAGAAGAGCTTGATATGCATGAGAGAAGGGGGAGTGATTGGTAGAGCAAGTCTTAAATCAGTCAGGAGGGAATAGAATCAAAGATATAAATGAGGAGTAGGGATACTTTTCAGTCTTGGATTTGAAATTTGCTGTGGGTAAATAAATATAAATAAATGGTTGGGTAATGGGCATTGATTTCAGTGAAATCATTGTCTTATTAAGGTAGAAGACTTAATTCTGGAAAACTACATTTTTTTGGTTAAATTCAGCAAGTAGAATCTTATACATTATGTAGAGTATCAAGAATAATATAATCTTAAAATAAAATATTAAATATTTTACTAAAATATTTAATTTATTAAAATATTGGTGTGCCTTTTTCTTCTATTCAGAGAATACGGCTTCAGATACAAAACTTTTAATTGTTATTGACACAAATATTCTGATGAATCATCTCAAGTTTCTTGGAATTTTGAAGACGATGGATATCCCAGGTATTCATAAAGATATTTTCTGATTCTTACTAAAGTATATCTGACATATCACTAGAGATCATAGGATCAAAATTCCTATTTGTGTTGTGCTTCAGGGTTTAAAAAGTACTTTACTCAACAACCCTTTTGAGGTAGGGGGTGCAAGTATTATTCTCTTTTTACAAAACAAGGAAACTGGAGCCCAGAAAGGCTGAATAGGGATTTTCTTGCAATTACCCAACGAGGAACCATTGACTCAAACTGAGGTCATCTGAAATCTTATTCTGAATCCTTCTTTCTGTCACACTGCTTCCCTTCAATTATAATATGAACTTGTGGGCTTCCCAAAGAAGGAAAAAGTGTTTTCTGATGCTTACTGAAGTAATTCTAGCTAGTAAATCCTAAACTTGCTATTCACAATAAAATGGGATCTTCAGAAGTTGACTTAGCAATATAACATCTCACTCTTTTTCCTGTTTTGTAAAAAAAAATATATATATATATATTTATTTGTTTGTTTATTTTTAACATTCATTTTTTAAAATTTTGAGTTCCAGATTCTCTTTCTCCTTCAAGCCCCTCCCCTACCCAGTGAGAAGGCAAGCAGTATATCATTTATATGTGTGAAGTCATGCGAAACATATTTCATATTAGCCATATTACCCCCCCCCCCCAAATCAACCAAACAAAAAAATAAACTGAAACAAAGTATGCTTAGATCTGCTCTCTGAATTCATCATTTTGCTCTTTGGAGGCGAATAGCATCATTCCTTGTGAGTACTTCAGAATTGTTTTGAATCATTGTATTGATCACGGTTGCTAAGTCCTTCCCAGTTGATCAGTATTGCAATATTGGTGTTACTGTGTACAGTGTTCTCTAGTTTGTCTCAACTTCACTATGCATTAGTTTGTATAAGATTTTTCAGGTTTTCTGAAACCATCGTCATCATTTTTTATAGTACAATAGTATTCCATCATAATCAGATACTACAACTTGTTCATCCGTTTCTCAGTTGATGGGCATCCCCTCAGTTACCACTTCTTTGCCAACACAAAAAGAGCTTCCTGCTATAAGTATTTTTCTATATGTTTTCTTTCTTACTTTTTCTTTGATCTCTTTGGGATACAGACTTAGTAGTGGTATTGCTGGATCAAAGGGTATGCACAGTTTTATAGCCCTTTGGGTATAGTTCACTCTCTTTTCTGAATTCTTTTTAAACCTATTTGACACATTATTTGCTGTGTGGATAGTTAACCTTGACTAAATTATAAGCTCCTTGATGGTAAGGAAGGTTTCTTAAATTTCTTTATGAAGTGCCTAGCACAGATGTCAATTTATATATTTCTTGATTTGATAAGAGATTTGAATTTTCCAGGCTTCGATAGACTTATATTGATAATTCCCTGGGTGGTTGTGCAAGAACTAGATCGTATGAAAGCAGGGAAATTGCTACAGCATGCACAGCACAAAGCTATACCTGCAGTCCATTTTATCAATGACTGTCTCAGAAGTCAAGATGGAAAGCTGTGGGGTCAGTCTATTCAACTTGCTTCTCAAAAACTTTGTAAGTACCACATGAAGAATTGAATGGGGTGTGGGTACTGTATATTTTTAGTCTAAAAATGTCCTCAGATTAAAGGGGAATGGTTCAAAAACTTAATTTTCCTTGTAAAGTGATTTAAAAAATTATTCTTTCACATCAAAATTCAACAAAACATACATTTTAAATTTTAACTTTTTATTTCTCAGGCTGTGTCATTACTACAAAAAGTGAAATAGAAATTTAGTAAGAAATTTTGTGCTGTATAGCTTTCATTTTGCATTCTTATTTGGAATTTCATTTTTCAAAATCAAAATTTCAAAATTTCATTTTGCATTCCTTTTAAAAATTACTACATAATATTAGTGTTGGGTGACAAGGCTATTCTGCACTTTTTTTTAATCATTTTTCTTTTATGTGTTTCCTTCCCTCACACTGTGAGCTTATTGAGAGCAGGAACTGTCTTAATTTTTCTTTTTGTGCCCCCAGTGCTTACTGTAATGCTTAGCACATAGCAAATTCTTAACAATTTTTTTTTTATTTATTTATTCGTTCATGACAGGTTTTGACTATGTAGTTATTGGTAGGCATATGTTTCAGTTGATAATAATGAATTGTTGTATAGTATAAATTTTCACATTTTTTCTCTTTTAATTTATTATAAAATTAGAATTTTTAGACAAGTTGTAAAAGACACATAGAACACTTATACTGATGTCCCTACCAAATGAAAATAGATGTTTTTCTGGTGTTTTGTTTAATTTTCCAAAAGAATCTCTTTTTTTCATAGCTCAGTATCTTTAATTCATGGATTTTTAAAAAAATATTCTTCAAGATGTGATAGTTTATGAGTCTATTGCAGTACAGTTTTGTCATATTACCTTACTTTAACATAGAAAATGATTTAATTAGAGATGTTTGGTCTCTAAATCTTAGGGTCAGGAAGAAGTTTGTTCATTTTGGGGAAAACTTAGGTGAGTTCTTTAAAGAGAACCACAAATCACTAGTATTACCAATAAGTAGAATTTTAATGGTCAGGTAACTGTAGAATGAATATGAAATGCCGTTAAATTGGACCTGTTTAAAGAAGTCATCTACATAGTTCATATTTAATAGCCATGAATGGCAATATATCAGAAATACTGAGATATAATGTACTATTTGCTTAACAGTAAACTTCTTCTTAACATTTTGGAAACAAGATAACAGTGATACATATTGATAGATAGTCCTTAAGGATTTACAAAGCTCCCTTCTTCATGTAGTGCCTGTGAAATAGCTAGTACACAGTCGCCATCTCCATTTTATGGAAGAGAAAATTGTGGCACAGAGACATTAAATGACTTGCCTCTAAGTAGTAAGTGCTGGCTAGCTCACTCGAGTCTACTGACTCCAAGACCAGTATCCCTTCTCTTACACCACCCTGTCTCTATTTAAGTCATCATATGTATTCTGTACAGCCTCTTACATAATCTCTGTCATGCAGAATAAAATTATGATCATTGTCATTAATTTATATAGAAAGGCTTATTCTGAAACCCTAAAAGTAGAGATGGTTTGTTTTGTGCTTATTTAGATGTTCTCTCTTTCTTCATCTGTTTCATCACATTTTAATCCATCATCTGCATGTGCCCCTGATATTTTTTAAAAATGATTTTTAATTTCACTGGCTCCTGTAGCTATATTATTTTGATATGTAGACTTAGGGATCCTAGTAGAGGCTTCAAAAGCTTTTTGTTTATTGCTTCTAATTTGAGGATGTCTTTTTTTTGAAACTCCATTTTCACTTCCATTTCAGTGCTCTTTTTTATTGTAACATTGCTTGATTTTTTTCCATTGAAGTGGTATTCTCGTAACCCCTTACAGTGTGGAGTTAATCCTGGGTTCTCAAAGTCCATGCTAGGAGAGCATAAACTCTAGCAGGAAATGTCCCTGGCAACAAATTTTGTGACTGTCATTCAAGAACCAGTTGGAAATTTTCTTCAGTAGAAGGTTGATTATTGAATAATGAATTTTTGTTGGCTAGAGCAACTCTTCAAAGCATGTTAGAGGGGTTGTAATTTGTATGGATGGAGGGAACACTGACACTGATGAAATGATAGAGTTTTTTAAATGTGTAAGTAAAGTATTTAGTAGCCATGGTAAGTTGCTGAAATTTCTTATTTGTAATAGATATTTTTCATGGTTTTCTGTGCCTCATAAGTAGTTTTATATGTTTATCTGAATGAATGTTATGTCTTGAAGATTGCTTTAGTGTTCACACCTAACTTAATTCATATAGAACCTCAGCATGTAATGCTTTTTGTTGACAGTGATAGTGGTGGTCAGTCATCCTCTCTAACATCCTCTTTACTTTGGGGTTCACAGGCCCACAAAGGTGCATGGATAGGTTTTAGAAAGTTCACGGACTTGGATGGGAAAAAATTATATCTTATTTTCACTCTACTTTAATTGCATTTTCTTGTTTAAAAATATTAGTTTAAGAAGTAATGCATAGGCTTCATCAGACTGCCAGAGGACTTCACTAAGCAACAAAAGGTTAAGAACTTTTGCTTTAAAAATAGTTTTAATTTCCTTTTAAATTATGGAATAAGATAATTTTTTTTTGTTTTTCTTGCTGATAAGCTGAGCTTCTTATTAGGAAAACTTGATTTGTTGAATTAGCAGATTTAAAGTAAAATTATTTGTTGGGACCAAGGCAAGAGCAGTCGTTACAGGAGCCTAAAATGTTGGGGTTGGGAGGAACCACAAAAACTATTCAACCTAACCTGTACCTCTACCTGAAAAGAAGTCAATCCGGCCTCTTATTGAAGACATCTGGTGATGAGACCCAGTCATCTCTGAGGCTGCCTATTCCATTTTGGGGCCTCTATAATTGTTGAAAAGTTTTTCATCCTCTTGAATTGAAATCAACCCCTTTCCAACTTTTACCTATAGCCCAGTCTTCCTCCTCTCTCTCTTTTTGCAAATAAGGAATCTAAATCCCTGAGCTGTTTATTGATTTGCTTAAGGTCAGGTAGCCAATAAGTAGAGTATTTGGAGTTCAGATCCAAGTCTTCTTAATTCAAATCCATTGTTATTTTCACCAAATTACACTTGAAGCCGATCTTGCAATCTTTATTTCATGAGAGTTTTTTCTCTTATGAGTCAATGAAGCTTTGTGAATACTGAGACTTTATTTCTATGTTGGGTAGTGATTATGGGAACTTTGAAATATGCACATTATACTGGGAAAGTACAGATTGGAAATGGAAATGTAGATTCTTCTTTAGCTCTCTTAATAGCCATGGGACAGAGGGCAGGTCACTTCACATGCTAATTTATTTTCCTCATTTGTAATATGGAGTTGATTGAAATAGTCTCTAAGATTTATTCCAGATCTGACATTTCGTGTTTTCTGTGTTGCTCCAATCACACAATATTATGTCCTGGGGTACGTGTTAAGTAGACTGTGTACAGAAACCCCACTGCATTTTGTTTCCTTCCCTTCTTCTTTTTTTCATTTAAAGACTTTTCATCTATACTGTTAGGATTTTTAGTGTATTAATTGATTTTTACTTTTGTTCAATTTGCAGATGGATTGAGTGATGAAAACAATGATGACCGAGTCCTGAAATGCTGTCTTCAGTATCAGAATTTATTTCCTTGTGCTCTTGTCATATTGTGCACGTGAGTTCTCTGAACAATAGACCTTTTTCAGTGTAAAACTGCAGTAATTGCATGAAATGAAAGAATGAGGGAAAAAAGATAATTTCTTCAGTCTTTGGAAGACAGTCTAATTTTCAGTGTGGTCTCTTTCTTTGTTTGTGAAGTCATGATCAGCATGACTTGTTAACTTTCCCCCATCCGCAAGTGGGCATATTCTTTTTTAAATTTTTTTATTTTAGACTTAAATACTAAAACTTAAATACGCAATAGAGAAAAGAAAAAGTAACATATTATAAACTTCAGTATTGAAACTTAAATACAAAATAAGAAAAGCAAAAAAGCATGTCATGTGCACAGCAGAACATAAAAGAGGATTCAAAATATGTAGCAATAAATTTCTGTTTCAAGAAAGCCTGTATAATAAATACTACATGTTATGTTGAGAGCTGTCTTGTTATTATTAGCTGGTGGTCTTAAGTAATGCACTTTGGAGAATTATAGTGAAATTAAAGGTATTGTCTAAATAAATGAATTTAATATTACAGTTACAAAGTTTGAATAATATTCAGAAAAGTTAGAAAATACTGGGGAAAATACCAGTGTTATCGGGTAAAATATAGGCAGTTTTTAGCTTAGGTACCTCAAAACAACCTCCCTTTTCTCTCCCAGTGTGGAATTTCTTTTCCCAGTTTATTCTCCTGCATGAAATAACCAGGCCTAATTCTTTTTATCTGATAAATTGATGAGTCTTTGAATCCATCATAGACCCAAAGATTTTGTAAGTGTCTAGATTGTATAAGAAAAGTCGCATGTAATTTAAGTTCATAGGGGTCAGGGCCAGGAAGAAGTGATACGAATAAGAGAAGGGAAGTATTGCTTACTTACCCTCCTGATTTCCACAGATAGGAGGGAATCTTAACCCAGTGTCTGTTTCCATTGTTTATAGTAATACAATTTTTTAGGTAACCTGTAAATTAATTTGCTGCTTCTGGGATAAGAGAATAAGGTAGCAGCTGAGATTGTGTCGTTAGAGGCAGCATGTGAAGTGGATAGCTGACCTTGGAGTCCATAAGATAGGTTCAAATCTCATTTTGACACTTACTAGCTTTGTAATCATGGGAAAGTCACATAGCCTTATTTTACTTCAGTTTCCTCATCTATAAAATGGGAATAGTGATACCTTTACCTACCCCATAGGATTGTTGAGGCTTAAATGAGATTGTGTATGTAAAATGCTTTGCAAACTTTAAAGTGCTGTATACATGCCAGATATCATTTGTTATTGTTATCTTATTCTCATTTTTTTTTTAACGGGCTCCAGATAGAAGGGGTCCTTGGACAAGTAACTATCTTGTTATTATTCCTTTATATTCAGTGTTACATGGATATGACACACTTACATTAGGATTTCATCTTATACTTCATCCTATTCCTATATGATTTTTTTCCTCATTGGCCAGCTCCCTACTTTGAAAATGTTTTATTCTTTGTAGCCGAAAGATTGAGTATTTGGAGTGATAACATTTATTTAAGACGTCTTATGGATTATTTTGTCCAGGAGATAATAGATAACAGTTCAGTCTGTGATAGTGCTGTGGGTCCAATAGATTATTGGTTGAATTTACTAAGATATTCTAAGGCCTGTATTTGTTAATAGAGATTTGTTATCTGTCAGCCTGTGCAATATTGCAAACTACTGATGTGTAATTCTGACCATCATATCATGTCTTACTGGGTATTCAGTATGGTGCTACATTTTTACAGTCTGCAGTGATGTGTTGTAATGTTTCTAACTTTTCCTTGCATAATTGGCAGTGATAACTAAGTTTGTGCTTTTTAATGGTAACTCGTATATAGTTTTTGGTGCCAGTGCCTAGGATATGAATTGCTGTTGTTAACCCCTCTGTCACTACAGATAAATCTGTATGACACAGGCATCGTTTGACACTTCTTTGACCTGTTGTTGTCTGAGTTTATGTGCACTGCATGCCCTATCTCTATTAGCTTTGATTTCATTCTTGGGTCTTAGTCATTTAATGGACCTCAAATAGAGATTAGCTACCTTTGTTTGCTTTCAAATAGTTTATTGGCCTGTAACTGATATTACTCAATGAAGTGTATTCTAAGAATGTCTATCATTCTTCCTCCTTTTTGATGTCATAGTGTTGATGTTTTTATAGTTGCCTTACACTGATGGATTTTTGTTAGGTTACTTTTCAAATCTGTTATGGTCCACTTTGTAGTTCTAAAAGTATACATTAACATTACTATTGTATAAATATTATTTGCTTTAAACTTGTTCATCCCATTCAGCTTTGATATCAAAATGCCAGTAAGTTTCTTAAAATATTCAGCCATCTCTTTTTTTTTTTTTTGCTTGATGTGTCTTGTGTGGGAGAGACTAGGCTCTTTTGTAGGTATCATCTTCACCTGCTTGTTCAGCGTGAGCTTTGGATTCAAGCTTTAAACCTTTCATCTATATATCTTTCTTTGGCATGCATTAAGGATTTTACACTATCAAGTCCAAATCATCCATCTGCATTAAGTGATTAATAAGATGTTCTGGTTCTTTATTTTGGGAGTCATGCATAGTTGTACTTAGAGAAATTATAATGGACTTAAGGTTGGGCAGAACCATCAAGGCCCTAAACTATCTCCTTGAAAAATGCCACATTTTATATTAATTGTTCTTAACATTCCTAAGTTGGTAACACATTTTAAACAGAGAACAATTTTCTAGTAGATGTGAAATACTATATATTTATAGTACATGAATGAGCCATGAGTGCAGAACTCATTTGCAATAATTAGCAAAGATATTATATATGTTATTGGTGCTTTGGGTAGCTTGTCCTTACACAAAGATATGGGCTAAGCAAGAGCCCTGGGGGCTAGGGACAGTGGGGACAGATGAAAGCTAAAGAAGGCAGTGGGCAGAGCCTGGAGGCAGAGGTGACAGAAGCAGCCTAGTGGAAGGTGATGATAAATCATTAAACATTTATTAAGTACCTAAGATATCATTATGCTTAGGCAGTGGGGATCCAAAGACAAGGATAAAAGAGTCAATGCCTTTGAGGAGCGATATTGTGTGCATGTAAAGTTGTTGATGTGATATATACAAAATAGAGGCCAGATAATGTTGGAGAAAGATACTAGCAGCTAGATAGGATCAGGAAAGCCTTTATATAGAAGGTGGTGCTGGATTTAAGCTATGAAGGAAACCAAGGATTGCCTACACAAATGGTTTTACACAAATGGTGTACACTCAAAAAACTTGGAGAATACTGATATAAACAACCAGAAATTTACCATGTTTTCTTCTTTAGGGGTTCTATTTTTACCCTGATTTTTTAGCTACTCAAGCTTCTGAACTAAAATATTTGATTGGTGTTGATTTTTTGTGTATTTTGTTATTCTTCTACTCCTTTTCTGATCTTAATTTTTGTAAGGGGACAGATTGTTCTGGCCTAATTATGCCAATTGTAGGGTGGCACACCTTCCCAGAGAATACTGAGATACCAAAGAAAAAGGAGCTCATACTAGCTTGGTCATTTAATAGGTTTTATTAGGGTTAATTAGATTGACTGGGTTGTTTAAGGGAGTTTACTCACAAAAGGCCAGTCATCCTAGGTGGCAGCAGGATAGAGTAACGTTGTGGATCCCCCACACTAACCCCAGGTCAGGTATTAATAGAAGCATAATAAAAAAGCATAGTGCAACTTTTCTCGTGGGATAATTGGAGCTTATTTTGCTGTTTACATTTACTCAAGGTAGTTTATATTCTCTGTGAGACTCCTTAGGCTGTGGCTTACTTCCATATAACTTTATAACTTTTGCTTTCATGTGCCAATTAAGGGATCTAGAATTTTTGATATGCTTTTGGTTTTTGTATTCCTCCTTGTAAAAAAATAAATTTGTTGCCCTTAAATGGGTGAGATGGAGTTCAAATTTTCTACTTTGCATACCAGCTCAAATTGATGTCGGTCTTCTATTTCTCTTTTGCAGCTCTTTCAAGTCACTTCTTCCATGGTATTATTTACTGTAAGTTGTCTGTACAGTTGTCCATAGCAATGTTGCTTAATAGTCCTTCTTTTTCTTGGCATGGCATGGCAACTAGCTGCCATTGGTTAGTAGTTCTATTTGCTATATTCTTTGTCAAATGCTGTAAGAGAATGCGTTTATCATGATGCTAGGAGATGCCATCCTTTTTGAATTACTCTGTTTTGGTATTATTGGTCTGCTAATTAGATTCATGCCCTCAACCTCAAAAAGGCCTTTTTGGAATTCTAGTCTAAGTATGCCCGTCTCTTTTTCAAAGTAATTTGAGATTTTGGTTCTACTTCTACCATCTATTTGCTAGTAGATGTAGTTTCTAGAGTTCTTCTTAAGTGAAGATTTTCAATCATCTCTGGTCTTTAATTTTCCCTTTTATAGTTCCTCAATTTCATTCTTATTTTCTGTAATCTAGGCTTAGGAACGAAGCTATTTTTTAAAAAAAATGATTGGCCTTTAAGGTTATGTTATTATTTGGCTTGGTCTAAGGGTACCTCTTAAAAAAGCTGTTTTCAGTTTTGTTATAATATAGTATTGGCATATAATGAAGACATATATGTCTTCATTTGTTCCAGTGTTGTGTTGTGTTTCTGGAATGCAAAGGAGGATCTCTTATTTTGATCTTCTTATTGTCAGTGTGATCATCACTGTGGTTTTGAGTAAGCTGAGATTTATAGTAGAAGTTTCATCACATTTGCTGGGGTACTACCCTACTCAAGAGTATCCCCAAAACCTAGCACCTTGTCTGGCATTTCCTTTGTGTTTCTCTCCCTTCCCTTTGCCTGCCCTCCTTATGCATGTTGGGTTGGTCTTTGAGAAGGTTATAATAATAACAAATATTATTATGTATACTGGTGGCCTTAGGAGAAATGAAATAAACCAGAAAGAAAGCAATAGGTGTTGACAAAGGAAAATATATGGCTAATCCCTGGGACTTGATAGAAGGAACAAAAATGAGGATGATTGGAGCTAGCTCAGAACCAAGAAAAATCCCTCTATTTTTATACTTGTGAATTGTCTTGGGATCTTAACTACTGTTTATAACATTTTAAAGAGAAAATGTGTTCAGCTACACTTGATTTACAATCAAACTTTAGGAATATAAATTGTAGGCTATTCTATAATAAGCAAGTTCTAGTAAGATTATTTGATCTTGGGGCAATAATTCTCTTGTTAAATACCTTGTAATTGTGTTTTAGTTGGTTTAATTTTGCTACTGTTTTCATGAATCAATCTTTGGTAAACAAGAAGAAAACAAATTTAGATAGGTGGAACTATCTCCAAGTAATAACTTAACATTTGCATTTATATAACCCTTTAAAGTTCACAAAGTTCTTAAAAGAACCCTATGAGTCTGATAGTTAGTTTTTTATCATCTCCATGAAGGTAAACAAAATAAATTCAGAAAGGTTAATGACTTGCTCTGAGGTAACACAGCCAGCAATACAGCAGGCATCGGAGCTATGCTGGGATTCAGACCACCTGCCTCCAAATCTAGAACTATTTCTTCTATATAGAGTTTTTTCTTCAATTAAATGAAATCACCTGTAATATGTTATTTTATTTTATTTATTAGCTATCTTACTCTTATCAACAAACATTTATTGAATGTCTGCAGTGTCTAAGGAGCTGTCATGGGCATTTCTTTGTGCAAATTGAAGAAGAAAGGTTAACTTAAAGTATGGTTTTGGAGGCCATAGAAGTGGTTTTTATAAGTTATGAATTTTAGTCAGAGTTTCATTCCCAAATTGAGCATTTAAATATTTAGGGATTGCAGTTCTCTACAAGAAATAGTCATAGAAATTGAACAGCTTTTTGAGATTTTCCTATGTGGTGGGCCTTTTCAGTGCATATTGTTGCCTTTTTGCATATCTTGGAAGAAACTGATGTTTTTATTTTGAAAATGAAGGAAAATTAATAATTGATTTCTATATAGGACATATTCATTATTAGTTTTAAACCTAGTCAGATTCTGTCATTCTCCAGTTGTTTTTGGTGCACATTGAAATCAAAAATAGGTAGTCAATATCAATCATTAAGCCATTTAAAATTTCATTACTGAAAACAGCAACCTAAAATCTAAAAATTTTAGATGTTTATTTAATTCTCACCCTTATGCACAACTACCATTTTAGTAAGTAAAAATTTCAAGGGAGAAAGAAAGAATGTGGAAAAATACAGTAATATTTAATGTAAATATTTTAAATTTATTTTATTTTCAAAAAACTTTGTAAATATAAAATCATTGTTTTTTAGCTTAATCTGTTTGAAAAGGTGCTATTTGTTGGAATATTAAATGAAGCCTTGGGAGGCACTTTGGTGTAATTTGGAGACTTGATTCTATGAGACAAAGGAAACCTGTTTTTCCTAGTCCTAGTTTAGCTACTGAATTTATAAGTGGCTTACTCTTAAATATTGTAGCTTTTAAAAACTCTTGTTATATTTACTGTACTTGCTGATATTCCCCAGCATCAGCAGTTCTGGTTAGGATGTTAGAAATGCCTACCATTCTACCTATACAGTCCTCATTATGGTGTCTTTTCTTATTTTCATTTCCTTTTTTTCAAATATTTTCAATTTCTGTTTTTACTTTTTATATTTGCATGCATAAATAATCTTTGTGATCTTGCATGTTTTCACCAATCTGTTGTTCCTGTTACTTTTTAAAAAAACTTATTTATTTTTAGTTTTCGACATTCACTTCCATAAACTTCTATTTTTTTAGCTTTTTTGGTGAGGCAGTTGGAGTTAAGTGACTTGCCCAGGGTCACACAGCTAATAAATGTCAAGTATCTGGTCTGAGGCTGGATTTGAACTCAGCTCCTCCTGACTCCAGGACCAATGCCCTATCCACTGCATCACCTAGCTGCCCACTCCATAAATTGAGTTTTGAATTTTACCCCTGCCTCCCTCCTCTCTCCTCCCTGCTTCCCAAGATGGTGTGCAATCTATTACAGGCTCTACATATACATTCTTATTAAACATATTTTCACATTAGTCATGTTGTAAAGAAGAATTAGAATGAATGGGAGGAACCACGAGAAAGAAGAAACAAAACAAACAAAAAAGAGAGAAAGCAAATAGTATGCTTCGATCTACATTCAAACTCCATAGTTCTTTCTTTAGATGTGGATAGCATTTTCCATCATGAGTCTTTTAAAATTGTCTTAGATCCTTGTATTGCTGAGAAGAGCTAACTAAGTTTTTCATAGTCAGTCATCACACACTGTGGCTGTTACTGTGTACAATGTTCTCCTGGTTCTGCCCACTTCACTCAGCATCAGTTCATATAAGTCCAGTTTTTCTAAAGTCTGCCTGTTCATCATTTCTTATAGCCTTGTTAGGTTTTTTAAAAAATTTCTCTTTTGTCTTAAAAAAAACCTTCAAGACCTTGCCTTCTAAAAGTTACCCAATTTATCTTAGTATTTTAAGGGTTCATTTTCAAAAATACTAAGTCTAGTTGATTTGCTTTCTTATAACTTTATTGAAAAATATATTAGTTGCATGTTGAAGAGAGATGAAATAACAAAACTCTATCAGTTGCCTCTTTTTACATTCACAGTTTTATTTTTAAGCATCATCTTTTTCTTTTTTTAAGAATCATTGATCCTATCTAAGAACATTTGGTTTCTGAGTTCTATTTTGTCCTGTTATTTTATGCTATGTTATGTTCTATTTGTAGTACTTTGTTATACTATAACAAGGAAAAATATAATTGTTCCCACAGGGATGATAGAAATTTACGCAATAAAAGCATAATAAGTGGTATAAAATCACTCAGTAAAGCGGAATTAAGTGCAGAGTTACTGACTCTCAGTCCCAAATCAGTAACTGTGGACAATCAGCCACATATTTCTAATCGGCACATCAAAGCAGGTTAGTGTTTTTATGTTTATATTTCAATAAGTAGCATATAAATCCAAGTACGATAATTATTGATAGCCTTCAACATTTGTAATTGATATTTATTGTCTAACTGAACATAATAGAGATTCGTATAGAATCCTCTTTTCTTAGTATAATGAGATGCTTATGTAGGTTGAGATCTGTTAAGTTCATAACATAAGAAGAAATTTTGAATTTACAAAATAAGCCTAAATTGGGTGGTTGTTTTTAAAGGCATATTAGCTACTTGGGCAAGTTCAATTGAGGTATAAGATTACTTTCCATAACCCTCTGAGACAGGATATGATTGAACATACAGTTTGAAAATAGTTTAAATTCTATGGAGGTTCTAAATTATGCTACTTTCAGTTTTAACAACTTGCTGTGAATATTGTACTCACTCAAATTGGAGGTTTTTGCAGGAATCCTATAATAGTACTACTTTTCATGCTGAATAAATAATGTAAAAACAAGGAAGGTAGATGCTGTTGCTTTATTTAGTACTCATGAGGTAGTATAATAAGTGTAATGTTGGACTTGGAGTTAGTCTTGCTTCATACACATAAAATGGGAATCATTATATCACCTACCTCATAGTATTGTTGTGAGGATCAGATCAGGTAGCTCATTTACAATGCTTTGTAAACCTTCAAGCAATATATAACTGCTAGCTATTACTGTTTACTAATGATAGTAATAATGATTTTCCTATTTTTCTTTGACAAAATAATTTTTTCAGCTCTATCGAAATACATGGTGGAATTCAACATCAAACCAGACCATGAATAATATCATTATGTATATGGCAGCCCATCCCCCAATCTTTAATATGACCGCACATATTAAATTTTATTTATTTGTGGACATGTATGTGTGTGTATTCTGATCTTTTACCCTTGAGGGTGAAAATTTTCAGTTTAACAAAGTGGGAGGTACAAATTTTCTTAATTTATTATATCTATAGGATTATCATAGGTAAACTTCAAATGTTTTGAGTTTGACCATAGAGAAATTATATTTGAGGTTTTTAAAAAATATATCAATTAAATGGTGTCAAGTTAAGATGAAGAAAATTATTTTAGATGAATGAATTAGAGGAATGGAGGGAAATGACATCAAGTAACAGATTTGTGGATCTTTTTAGACAGGTCATTGCTGTGGGCTAAGATCATAAAGAATACATTTTTCATAGCTGAAGATTCATTAAATAAACATCTTAGAAGAAGTTTCATAATAATCCAAAGCATATGTATTAATTCTGATACTTTTACTAAAAGATTAGATAACTTTTGCCAACTTTGGAATACCAGTGATAGTAGTCTAGAATCTAGACGCATTTGGGGTTGTGACCCACACTTTAAGAAGTGCTGGAATATATAATGTACAGATCTTAGATATCTAGAGTAGAGTAACTCCATTCAATTATACTTTTTAGCAAAAAAAAAAATTAAAAAATGAAACCTGTTTGTAACATTAACATTTTAATTGCAGTTGTTATTTCTACATCCTATGCTTAAGAGTATTAAAAAAAAATTTTTTTTTTATTTTTAGGCAATTGGGGTTAAGTGACTTGCCCAGGGTCACACAGCTAGTGAGTGTTATATGTCTGAGGCTGGATTTGAACTCAGGTTCTCCTGACTCCAGGGCTGGTGTTCTATCCACTGCACCACCTAGCTGCCCCCTTAAGAGTATTTCTGATGTTCTCTGGGTGCTGTATATAATAGGCTATTAGAAAAAAGAGATGTATTATGTTTTTAGTATTTTAAAAATTATGTCAGCTTGTCTGTTACTAACTACATTGTTTGTGCTCTTAATACCCTCTAACTTTATTTTCCAGATATAAAACCCTTGGAGAAATGCTGCAGGGGAAATACTATATCATCTGGAATGGCTATTCTACTTGAAAATATTATTTCCGAGCTTGAAAAATGTCTTGGAACAGCTTTGTCTTCTATATTAGAAACAGAAATGAAAATCGCTTTTGGAGACCTCTGGCTAGAGGTGATTATTTCAGCTATAATTGTCTGAAAATTTCTGATCAGAGTTTAAGAACATTGTAATCAAGAAAAATTACTTAAGTGAAATGATGCTGACTTTAGTGTTATATTTTTCTAGAAATTTTAAAATCAGCTTTCTGAAAAGAAACAATACTCTTTTTTTAAAGATACGTTATCTTTTGTCGGAAGAGAATTGAATAACTGAATGACTTGCTTAAAAAAAAACAAAAAAGTAATCTTTTTTAAAAAAATTATTTTTCTCCAGTTACATGTAAAAACAATTTTTAACTTTCTTTTTTTTTTTAAGTTTTGGGTTCCACATTCTATCCCTCCCTGAGATGGTAAGCAATTGATAGAGATTATACATGTGCAGTCTTGTAAAACATTTCCATATTAGTCATTTTGTGCAAGAAAACACAAACAAAAAAAAGAAATAAAGTGAAAAATAGTATACTCTGGTCTGTATTCAGACAACATCAGTTCTTTCTCTCGACGTGGATAGCATTTTTCATCATAACTCCTTTGGAATTCTTCTGGATCACTATTGCTGAGAATAGCTAAGTCAGTTATAGTTGTTCATTGTACAGTATTGCTGTTACTGAGTACAGTGTTCTTCTGGTTCTAATCACTTCATGTTTTATCAGTTCACGTAAGTCAGACTACCACTGTCCTTCCAAGTTTTGTAACCTTGGCTTTTCCCTCTTACTTCTGATATCTAATCGATTGCCAAGTCTTACAGATTCTACTTTCATAGCATCTGTCACATCTGCTGCCTTCTCTCTATTCACATAGCTGGTAGCTTAGTTGATGGTCCTCATCACTTCATCACTGGACTGTTGTAATAACTTTCTAGTTATTTTTCCTGCTTCATTTCTCATCTCTCTAATACATCTTCCATGTAGTTGCCAAATTGATATTTCTTAAATTTGAATTGATGAAGTCACTCCTCTTCCTTAAAATCTTCAGTAGGTCCCTGTTACCTCTAGGTAAAATACAAAATCCTTTGTAGGACAGAACATGCTCTATAATATAGCTTCCACTTACCTGAGTTTTATTTCGTGTTAGATCCCTTTATCTACTTTCTCTTCTAGTCAGACTTGGCCTGCTAACTGTTCTTATTCTCAGCATTTTAGTCCCTGCCTTTCAATTCTTCTGTGGGTGGTTCTTCAGTATCTGAAATACACTCCTTGCTTAGTTCTCCCCCTTTGAATCCTGAGCTTCTTTCAAAGCATAATTCAGGAATCAGCTATTAGATTGCTCTTAATCTTTCCACATTGATAGTACTCTCTGCTCTTGAAATTACTTGTTGAATATTTTTACAGACTTATGTGTCTCTGTATTGACTTGTAAACTTCTTGAGGGGAGGGACTTATATTTTTGTCTTTGTGTTCCTACTACCTAGCACAGTGCTTTGCATACTGTAAGAGCTTAGTCAAAGTTTATTAGATTGAATTAAATTATTGGATCTAAGATAATTCACAAGAAACTAATTTATTCTGGGCCTTTTTTGGGGGGAGGTTAATCAACAAACACAGCAGAATTTTAAAGTCTCTGCACCTTTCTGTCAGTTGTGTGTCTGTAAATGTGTGATCAGTTATAAAAAAAAAATTGCAAAAGTTTACTTACTTCATTATATTTTTATCAAAGCTACCTTTGATACTTATGTTCATCTTGAGGAAGTAGGTATGTGGATTGGTAGCTTCATTTATTTTTGTGGTGGCCTTGGTGCTTATGCTTAAGAGAATTAAAAGACAAGATGACAAAGTGTCACATGAAATTGTTTCTTATTGTCTTTGAGCTTATGATGAAACCGCCTATACCAACTCTTGTTTGTCTTTTCAAAATGAACCTCTGAGATTTTCTTCAGTTAACTACAATATCCTTTTGTTTATGTAGTATTTTCTATTCTTTTACTATTTTATTATCCTTGAGTTATGTTGTAAAACAAGCCTTCAATTCTTCTAAGAGTTGGGTCTCACACTAAGCTTTCTCTGACTCATTTTGACTTTGACTTACTGTTCAGAGTGAGACAATTCATGATCTTCTTCCTCCTCCTGTGTATTGTTATGTAAATGAATCTGAATTATAAGCCATTGGTCTCCAGACTTTGTTAGTCACTTGTCCCTAATATGTATATATTTACTCATTTATAAGTTATATATAGAGTGTTATATATTAATAATCATGTACACTATACAATTTAAGCAAAAATAGACATTAAAAAAGGATGAGATAAAGATGAAATGGTATTTGATCCTAGAGTCAATATTAGTTACTAAAGCTTATAACTGAAGTAGGAGAGTGATATGCTCAGACCTGTACTTAAAGGGCAACTTCGATGGATTGGAGTAGGAAGAGATTTGAGATAGAAAGACCAAATAGGAGGATGTTTGAATGGCTCAAGTGAGAGTTGATGAAGGCCTGAACTAGGGTGATAGCTGTGTGAGAGATGGAGGTAGAAATCATAAGATTTGGCAACAAATTGAATATGTGGGTTGAGGGAAAGAGAAGAGTTGAAAATGACACTGAGGTAATGAACATGTGGCTGAAAGGATAGTGTTGCCCCTAGTAGAAATAGAGAAGTTGGGAAGATGAATGGGTTTTATGGGAAAGATTATGTAATGAGATCTGCAATGCAGATTGATGCCCATTCATCCTGTGGTACTTTGTCCTGCACAAAACAAAGAATGGGGGTGAGGGTAGGGTTAGGGGATTTGTAGACGGGAAGGGAAAGGAATGAGAGGGTTTCAGAGCCTGCCCTTGAGGGTAGCAGACGGGGGACCTGCCAGAACCTTGAGGTGGTTAGGGGCAGAGGTGGGTACGTAGGGAGAGGTAGGATTTCTCTAATGGCACCTTCACTGCTTCATTCTGTGCATGTCTGGATAGCTGTTCTGTTATTACTTACCTGAAAAATGAGTATGACTTAGAAGGTCAAAGTTGAAAGTTATTATAGCAAAGGGAAGAGTTGGAATGGTGTACTGTAGGAAGATAATGGTAGATGTGGTTGTATTGGAGACAATACCCATGGTTAGCTATTTCAGAAGAGTTGAAATGGAACCAATCATCCCCATCCCTTGATTTGTTTATCACATTCTTCTTGGGGTCAGTTCTTCATGTGGAGACAAGTGTTCTGAAATATTCTTATGAGTTTTCTCTCTGGAGACTTTTAAGCAGTGGCTAGATGACTACTTAGGAATGTTATAGAATGGATTATTTTTGAAGGTATGAATTGTTGGACTAGATGGCCATTGAAATCCTTTCCAGCTCTGAAATTTTGTCAGGCTGTGGTTATCCTTGCCCAATATGCCTGTTTGGGAAGGATATTATTGAATATTTTCTGGCTAAAGTAATTTCTATTTATTTTATCCTCATTTATCCTCATTTTACAAATAAAGAAACAGACTGAGAGAAGTTAAATCATTTGCCCTGGGTCACACAGTAAGTATTTGAGGCAGGATCCACACTCCGTTCTTCTGACTCTTGAGTCCAGCACTCTTACCCATGGGGCCACTAAGCTGTTTCAGTGATCTGTTTCGATAGGTCACTTTGAAGCTGTTATTTCTCTGCAAGGTCTTTATCCTTTCTTTTGATCTGGTGTTAATTTTGACCTTTAGTCCATCTAGTTGATGATTATACACAGCTTGATTCTGATATGATTTATAAAATCAACTTATCATTTTCTATCTGTGAAAATATCATATCATTTTTGAGATTGTTTGCTGCTTGTCATGTCTGTTAACTTCTGATTTCTTTTTTAAAGAAAATATTGATGATATATAGGCCTAAGGCTTCCAAATAGACTATAAGCCTTAGGTTTCTTTCATTTCCTTAACCGGAGTCATATTTTTCCAACATTCCATCCTTCACTATGCCTAACTTTACATTGAAGTCAAAGAATTTCAAAGTACATGTTGATTTGTTTTCTCCTTTATCTATTGTAACAGATATGGGCACTTAAGCTTCATTTATTTTTGTGGTAGCCTTGGTGCTTATGCTTAAGAGAATTAAAAGACAAGGTGACAAAGTGTCACACGAAATTGTTTCTTATTGTCTTTGAGCTCATGATGAAACCGACTATACCAACTCTTTTGTTTGTCTCTTCAAAATGAACCTCTGAGATTTTCTTCAGTTAGCTACAATATCCTTTCAATATTGACTGTTCTAAAGAATATGATAATTCTTTGATCATTGGATATAGATTTTGCATTTAAAGTTCTATTAATGTTTATGTACCTTGTAAAAAACTATGATTCTTAGCACCCTCTGCCCTTTTCTGCTACTCTTATTAATAATGATAATGAGAAATATTTAATTTTTTTTACCATTATTGTAAGGTTGTATAAGTGATAATTTTGCTAATTTTCACCATTGTGGTGGTTAGTTTGCCATATGATAGATTGTTCAGTGTCAAACCCAGCAGGTGAGCGAAGGTTTCTAAAGATGGATTTTGGAGAGCCAGTTGTCAAACAGTAGACATAGGGGATGCCTTTGCTTACTGATGATTTAGAAACATAAAGTACTGAAGGAAAGCATCCATTTACCGTGGATTCATGACATATTTGCCATGCATGGTAACTGGTAGGCAGTCAGTAACCTTAGTCTATAAAGACTAGTGTTTTTCAGTGATTATGAAATTTTGAAAGTTGTTTTCACTAAATTAAGCAGATGAGATGTAGATTAGTACTATGGGAACTAAAATGATGGTAGAGAGACTATTCATAGTAACAAAAGCTTTTAAAATATTGAAGTTTAATAATCATTCAATAAGCAATTTATTAAGCATTTATTATGTGCCAGGCACTGTGTTAGGTATTGGTGATACAAAGAAAAAGCAAAGACATTCCCTGTCCTGAAGGAGTCTACATTTTAATGGCTGAAATAACAAATGCATAAACCTCCTAAAGATACATATAGAATAGATTGAAGGTAGCTGTAGAGAGGAAAATATTAGCTCATGGTTAAGGGTAGGGGTAGGAAACCAGGAAAGGCCTCCTTCTGGTGGTGGCGCTTGGAGTGAATATTAAACATACTCTGAATATATGTTGACTTTTTTTTTTTACACTACAGACTTTTTTTTTTTACACTACAGATGGTGTACTTAAAGCCCCCTTGGACACTTGCACATTTATTACAGTGTTTTAAAAAACACTGGTTAGCTGTTTTTGGATTGGTTGTGGCGAAAAACTTGCTTATGACGATTGAGAGCCTATATGAAAATCTTTGTAAAGGTAGGAATCTTTCATTTTTCTATACTACATTGATGTTTTTCTTAAAATGTTTGATTTAAATTGCAGTTCTTTTTTTTTCCAGCCAAAGACAAGGTTTATTAAAGATATCCACCATATTAGCCAGATTCTTAAGCAATCTGAATGTCTATGAGCAATTGGCTAGATTGTAAAAATCTGAGCAGTGGCTAGATTTTAAGAATCTGAGCACCTTAATGGTGACAGAATGGACCTTATATACAGAAAGACTGTGGGAGAGATCTAGGAGTGGCCAAGTAGTTTGGGGTGATGGGAGGATCTAAGGAAGAACTGAATGGGAGTGGCCAGTAAGCTGGGGTGAACAGAATGCCTGGGACCTGGACAAAGGAGAATGGAATCTAGATAGGGTCAAGGGTGGGAAATAGCCAGGGGACACAGGGAGATAGATTGGGGGTAGGAGATAACGAAAGGCCAGTTGATAGGATTATAGCATCAAGCAAATGCCAGAGATTTGGCCTTGTGGGAAAGTCCAGGGTTTTTCCTTTCTGGGGTCCAGATCCCAACCCCTCATAGCCCCCTCAAACAAATGAGACCCAAATTCTTTTGAAGTAAGGGGCGAAGGTCTTGGCTTCTGAAGCTGCTTCCTGCTGGCAAGGGGCATATAGCTGTCCCTGACTCGAGGGGTTCCCAAAGAGGAGGTTGACTGGAACCAAACACAGGCTGCATCCAGGGAACAGTGAGGGGACATTGGGTGGTACCTGCTGTTTGCTATGAATTGTAGGTGAATGGCCTGTAGTCTGAAAGACACAAATCTGAAAGAAAAGACTGCAAGGCCCAAATGACAGGTTAAAGCATCCTTAGCTGTGTTTGGATTCAGATAAAACAGTTTTTCAGCCATGCAGTATCAGATCCACCTCATAGCCAGACTTAGGAATAGCCAGGTGGGTAACATGCCTTTTCAAAGGAACATAATGGGGAAACTGAGCCAGAAGGATCCCATCTTAGACTGAGGCTAAAATTGTCCTCTCAGCTTTTCTTGATGCTGACTTCCCACCAGTATCACATTCTGTCTGAGTAGCTTGTGACATTTTTCAGATGGTGGATTATTGATTTATCGATGGATTATTGTGATCCAGTAGACAACTCAAAATAAAATGATGAACTTTTTTACCTCAAACAGCAAATTTTACTAATCACATCTTAGGAAAAACTTTTCCAGGATTTACATCTCAAATTTAAATTTGTTTTGGTATAAAAAGCCAGTCGTTAGAGATTATTTCTAGGTATTGCAAATTCTCAGCAAAACAAAACCCCAACAAGCTTTTTGGCAAGTTTACACATTAAAACAATAACCAGCAATAGCCAAATTATTTTAACGGTAACCAAATTATGAAAAGTTGCTTGACATAATTCCCTGATGCCAAACAATTAGCTCAACTTTCTCCCATGCTTCTGGGGGAACGTGGGGAGGTCTGGTGCACAGAGGGAAAAGGGAGATGGGAGGCTTAACTAGAGAAGGTTGGCTCCCCAAATTCACCATCAGGTCCCTTCCCAACAAAGGGACAGGGCAATAGGAGAGCATAAGGAGGGAGTATTCAAACAATTCCTCAAATAGGCAGGGGAGTGGGTATGTCTGGAGACATCCTTTAGTGTTCCCTTCAATGCCCATGACCAGATAGGTTGAGGGGTGGATAGGGCCAGAGTAATTGGTTAAAACAGAGAACATAGCCATGATAAAGTAGGTAACCTTACCTTCGGCCTCGATTTTTGCCCACGGCTCAGCGAGAGCGATGGAGAAGGTGGGAGTGCTACCAAGCCCTGGGCTTCCTTGTCATTCCCAGTTTTGGGGGGAGAAGAACTTGGGGTCAGGCAGTTTTCCCCATACGGGCCACCAAAATGTTGAGGTGTAGAGGTTTAGGGGTATAGGGACCTTAAAATCAGAACATGTGGGTCATGTCCGAAAGAATTCGACCCAAGCCTTCTTTCAGCCAAAGACAAGGTTTGTTAAAGATCCACCATATTAGCCAGACTCTTTGGGAATCTGAGCATCTATGAGCTATTGGCTAGATTATAAAAATCTGAGCAGTGGCTAGATTTTTAAGAATCTGAGCCAATTGCAGTTCTTTTCCAAAGGATTGACAGATAAGTAGATCCTTGGTCCTCTTTTTCTCCTGCTTTACACTGTCTTCCTGGGTAATATCATTTATTCCCATTATTTCAACTGTCACCTTTGATGGAGATGGCTTCCAAATACATACATCTAGCCCTGATCTTTCTCTTAAACTTCAAGTACACATCTCCAATGGCCTGTGGGAAATCTCTGCCTAGATGTCCCATTGACACTTTAAACTCCTTATGTCTAAAACTGAAATGAGTATCTTTCCATCAAAATCTTCTTTTCTTTGTAACTTTCTTATTTTCATTGTTACTACCATTTTCTGAGTCATTCACATTTTAGATTTCAGTTTTAACTTTGATTTTCTTCACTTATTAAATCTTGTCAACTCCACTGCTGCAATATCTCTTACATCTCTCCTCTTTCCACTTCTGCTGTTAACAGTCTAGTATGGGCCCTGATTACCATTTACCTGGACTATCTTATTAGTATCCTACTTGGTCTTCCCATCTTGTCTTTCAATTCCATTTTATTCTTCATACTCCTGCCATATTAATCTTTTAATCTGGGCAGATCACATTACTCCTCTGCTCAAAGTCCTTTAATGGTTGCCTCTTTCCTTTTGAATAAAGGTTATGCTTCTCAGCCTGGTAAGCCAGAACCTTATGCAATTTGGAAACACCCTACCTTTCTAGCCTTATCTTTCCCCCATCTAATCAGTGCTATATCCAAAGTAAATTGTATATTCCACCTATGTACTGCTTATACTATTTTACCTCTGTGCCTTTACTTGTGCTGTTTCTGATGCCTGGAATATCTTTCTCCTCACTTAATACTGCCCTCTCCTCCCCCCCCCCTTCTTAGCTTATCAAAATCCTACCTTTTAAAGCCAGCACAAATACTGCTTTATTCATGAAGCCTTCATTTGTTGTTCCAAAAAGTGATCATCTTATTCCAAGTTCTTTCTCTACCCTAGACCTTATATAGAATTTATTTTCTTTTATAATTTTTGAATTGTAGTTAATCTGTATATATGTTTTATCACCTTTTTATACTGTGAACTTCATGAAGGCAGAAGATCTTTGTAACCACTCCCCTTAACCCCCACTCCTAGCACCTAACACAAATACTGTCTTTGCACATGATAGCTAATAAATTATTGTATAGGCCAAGATTTGGGAATGCACATTTACTCTAGCCAGACTGAATGCAACAAACATTTATTAACCACCTACTATACACAAAGCAATGTGTTAGGTTTTTGGGCTACAAAAACACTACCTTTCCTCAAAGGGCTTATTATGTTCCATTGGGGGTAGGAGTGGAGAACTTAAATGTACCTTGTTAAGTGAATAGATATAAATGGAATGTACAGTTATCCCTGCCACATCACAGGGGTTAGGGGTGCAGTACTTCCGTGATTTGGAAAATTCAGCTCGAATTTTTTGGCCCTCCCTTTGTCTCAGAGCTGAGTTGTGAAGAAGACAAGGAAACTTAAGAGATGGATGAGTGGACAGAGCATTCTGAGCATGAGAGATAGCTAGTACAAAAGCACACATGTAGAAACTGAGGTATTGTTTGAGGAACAGTAAGTAGGCCAGTATAATTGGATCAAAGAATGTGTGGAGAAGAGAAGAAGATTGGAAAGGTAGGAAAGGCCTAGGTTTTGAAGAGCTTTAAATGCTGAACAGAGGTGGGAGATTAGATTGAAGGCTATTGAAATAGTGCAGGTGAGAGGCAATGAGAGCCCAAAGTAAGGTAGTGGCTTTGGGAGTGGAGAGAAAGGGGACATATACAAAAGATTTTGTGAAGGTAGAAATGACAGGATTCAGCAACAGATTGGATATGAGAGGTGAGAGTGAGGAATTGAGTGTGATATCATGTTGTTGGCCTGGGTTACCAGGAGGATGGTGGTGCCTTTAAACAATAGTGGGAAAATTCAAAGAAGGGTAGAGGTTTGGGAAAAAGATAATTAGTCCCATTTTGAAAGTGTTGAATTTGAATTTCATTTGGGAAACCCTGTTTACATTGTCCAAAAGGTAGATGGTAATATATGACTAAAGCTGGAGAGAGAGAGAGAAGAGAGAGAGAGAGAGAGAGAGAGAGAGAGAGAGAGAGAGAGAGAGAGAGAGAGAGAGACTGAGAGACTATAGATATTTGAACCCATGGGAGGTGAGGAGATCACTAAATGAGAGAGTATAGAACTAAAGAGAAGGGGCACAGGATAGAGCCTAGGCGAAGACACTTAAAAAGACAAATTTTTTCCAGAAATTTGCCTGAGAAGGAGTGGAGAGAAAGAGGATGATAGCTTGCACAGATGGTAGGGTCTTTATTTTCAGAATGACCCAATTACATAAATGTATACGTTACTAAAACATACCTCCAAAGCAACTAACTCTGGTGATTCTTTGCTTACTTATTTACTTTTTGACACTAGCTGGATAAAGTTGGAATCTAGTACAGATTTAGTTTACATGTATCTGTTTTTAAAAAATAATTAACGTTAATTAGCTTCCTGAGTATCTCTCTGTCATAGATTTATAATATGTAGGATCTCTGATAACAATTTGTTTTTTAAAATTTCTTGACATCAGCTAAGACAGTGGACTTGGCAACAACTAAATTTCTGCTTCAGGATTCCAAACATTTGTTACATGCTTTTAGTACAAGGTCAAACTATGATGGGATTCTGCCACAGGCCTTTGCTCAGGTGAATCAATTACTTCAAACACTCTCAGAGGTAAGATGCTTTTGGAATGCTTTCTAAAACACTGGTGCCAATAGATGCTTAAAATCTTTCCAATTGCTATAATTGATAAATAATAAATGAAATATTCTTATTCTAACTTGTTCTGTCGCCCTAATGGTAGTTAGGAAATATTAGGTGAATTAAAGAGTAAATAGGCAAGCAGCTGTAGGTTTTAGTTGTATTATACATTTTATCCTTTCAGGAAAGAGGAGTTCACAATGTTTGTTAGGAATATGCTCTAATTCATTTTTGACGAGAAGACAGCTCTGATTATTTATCATTTTATTGTTTCTTGTATGTAAGAAGCCTATTATCAATTTAATTCTTGAGTTAGAATGTAAATCCCTGCCTTTCTGATCCCAAATCCAAAAAACTGTAAGAAATTTGAAGCATTTAAAATATATACAAGCTAGAGGTAGCTCAATGCATCATATCTTTTAAGTGAGTCATAGCACGTGCAAAGTGACATTGCCTTCTTTGTATGTTGGTTTTTTTCCCTTTCATAATTATGCCTCAACTTAACTAGTTTTTCTCCTTGATTTTCATAGCCAGTTAAAATCTGTTATTTACCTTCTGTGCTAAAGGAGGCAGTGATGATCATAAACCTTATCATAGTTGGTGAAGGAGGAAAATATTAACCAAGATATCATTTTTATATTCTTGGAGGAGATGTAATATATTCTGCAATGATTTAGAAAACAAGTGTTTTGGTTTGCTTTTTAAAAAATTTTCAGTTGGTCTCTGAGATCATCATGCTGCTGGTGTGAAATGTATTTTTGGAAAATAAGACTTCTGTAGCCTCTTGTAGTGAAGAGCAGAGCCAAGACTATAAGAGGTTATTGTTTGATTTTTGTTTGTGGATTGCTTTTAGAATACTTCATTTCCATTTACATCAGTGTCATAAGAACAGGGACTAGACCTGTGATTTCACAAGGGTGGGGAACTCCTGAATGAAGAATATTTTTGTACCAGTGCAGATAGGTACATTCTTTTCACCTTACAGGCTTCAAGAGTTGCCTAGAACACTGCCAAAAAATAGATTGGAAGATAGGAATCAAGGATACCTGATGAAAGAGACCAAAACTTGTAGACTTCAGCAAAGCCTCATGCCTATACTTTATGAATACTTTCTCCAGGAAAAGAATTGGAAGTCATTGAACATGGGTAGCACTGAGTAATATCGCAAAAAATGGAATTGGCAGGAAATAGGACAGGAACAACTCATTGTTTGACATCAGACTATCAGCTTTATAGAGTAAAAATCAACATTTTGTACAAAGCAAAAAGAAAGAATAAAAATGTGAAAAAGACAATTTCAGCTTAAGCTAGCTAAAATGAGTTGTTGATGTTATAAAAGATACTATATGGACAGAAGAAGTGATAGACACTAATTACAATAATTCTCTATGGAGGAAGTTCAACAAATGTAAATTATTTGCAATAATGAAGAGACCAAAAGAGACTAAAAAGTATGTTATCAGTAAAACATTCAATGTACTTTCTAAGCACCAAGCTTTTGAATCCAAGGGCAATACCAGTTTTCAGTATACATAAAATCTTAGGCGGAACGATGTTGGAAGATTACGAACAATATTGCCATATACAGCAGAAAACACATCTTTACCTAAACAATCAGTTAAAATATGTGGAGACTATTAGCTCTTGCCTTGCTTGTTCTATGGTGACTCTTCAAAAAACCTTTGACAACCACCGCCTTAAAGACTCTCTTCCAACAAAGTGTCTCTGGTACATTGGTACAAAGTACATTAGAATTATGTAAGAAGCTTTGAAGTATAGAATGGTGGAGATAATCTCATAAAAGAGCTGCATACTTGCTGAACGTATTCACTTCTGTCATAGAGGAGGTTTAGCTTTTATTCCAAATTGTGGGTTCTCTAGGTCCTACTGTTTGCAGATTATATTGTATTTATTGTATCAACCCTGCAGTATTGTAGAGCTTTCTGAATGGGATGCCTTGCCATTCAAAAAAAATTGGCTTTATCATCCATATGTGGAAAATCAACCAGGTGGCGAATACTTACTGTACAGTTTGTAAAGTTCAGTTAGATAGAAAACTCGTAGCAATCATCTGTTATGCCTTGGATAGACACTGAAAATGGATAATGGTTTGGGCCTATAATTAAACAGGAGGAGGAGAAAGCTCATTTACTGGCCTTAAATGCCTCCCAGAAACAAAGGCCAGTCTGGTTAATACCAGTATGTTGCTGGTGGTATTCTATATCTATGAGTCATGTGACACTATAGTATCCAAAAAATAAAGATTGATCACCCAGAGGGAAGTGATGAGAGACCACTGTTGTACTTGTGGGTAAGGAGGCTGCAGTAAATAAAAAATAAGGACTTATGAAGAACTGAAGTGAAGAATGTCATCAGAGAAATATGTGACCAGAAAAGATGGCCTAATCACGTGGTGAGAACAGATGACCATTGAAGAGTCTCTGTATCCACAGAATGTCAAGAAAAAACAAATATGACTCCCAGCACACTGGAAGGTTTCCCCTGTGGTAAACTTACCGGGGAATATTGTTAAGAGTCACATGAGAGGCAGTCATGGATGAGTTGCTATCTGTACCACTATCAGTAATGTCCACATCAGTGAGATCACAGATCTCTTCGAATAATGGGACATGACATAGCCTTTTGATTTGAGACTATTAAGTGGAACAATTAATTACTAATGATTTTGATGAAGATAATATTGATTAGTTTAACAGGGTCAGTGGTAAGATTTAAAAATCTTGTTCTTTGAAAATACAGTGTAAAACTGTAGTTATTGTAATGGAAAAGGGTATGTGTGTTGCTTAACAAACCTCATCGGATAACTATTTTAAAATACTTAATTGGGGGCAGCTAGGTGGTACAGTGGATAGAGCACTGGCCCTGCAGTCAGGAGGACCTGAGTTCAAATCCAGCCTTAGACATATAACACTAACTAGCTGTGTGACCCTGGGTAAGTCACTTAACCCCATTGCCTAGCCCCCCCCCCAAAAAAAAATCTGGTACTGCTAAAATACTTAATTAGCTGACATTTAGTTAAGTATTTATTCTTAGATGTTGCATTCCTTCTTGCTGCAGTGGCTGAGAAGCTTGTAAAGATGAATGGCAAAAAAAAAAAAAATGAACAGTTGCTAGATACTATTGCCGGTGTTTTTCTCATTACTTGGTATTGATCTGACTGACTGAAATAGCTTATGCTTCTGTGAATTGGAGCTAATTATTGACACCTTATTTTCATTTTTAGAAACAGTTGGGCATCTGGATGCTGTCCAACACTGTTTTTTGCTCCAGTACTTTTAGTACTCTACTGGTATAAATGGTTTTGTTGAAATGATGTTAGATTTGACTGACATCCATCTCCAAAAATACAGGACAAAGGTTCAGTCTCTTTCTAACCCAATAGTGTAGACTTGCTTCAATTGAAAGAAAATCAGAGATGAAGTGATATGGCAGTACTATCAATTTCAATCTATTCAGACAGATAAACAGTTCATCTAATGCAAAAATCAAAAGAGAGAGATATTCATGAAGTTTAGTTACAACAACTGAAGAAACAAAGAAAGGAACACTGAGTCTGAGAGACTTTAAACTGTTTTGTTGTTCACAAAACTGTGAAAAGCCTGCAGACAGCTTGGCCATGGGTCCAGTTGAACCATATGATCTCAAGATCACTTGTACATAAAATCAGAAGGAGAACAGATAATGCTCAAAATGGATCTTAACAGGTTTTTAATAATCCTGTTCTCATCAGATATCAGCCGTATTTGAATTCTCACAGGAAGTAGCAGTGTTACATGTTGAAAGGAAGTCAGGAAAAGAAACTGGACCTGACCAAATACAGAGAAAATCAGTGGTACTACAGTTTTAAAGTCACAGAGGTATTTTCAAAATTTCTTCACAAGGAAGGATTCCCTTTTCCCCACCCTCCAGGGAAGAACTGATATTTATTTTACTAGAACAAAAGTGACTTAGAAAACATCAGTCACTAACTCATATATTGACATTCTTATCTCTGTGAAATCTTTAAGAATGGTCTTTATGTGTATGTGAGAAAAGAGAGAATGAATAATGGTCAAATTCAGTGATTTTATATGTGTATGTGTGTGTATAATATAAAATATGTACACATATACTTGCAGGTGTATACAAATATATGTATTTATGTAGATTTATGTATGTGTATTTGTGTATATATGTAGATTTATAGAAATATGTAATATGTTTATAATATACATCTGTATGTGTAGATATATATATGTATTTCGTAAATATATCTATACATACATATACATAATCATTGAATTCTTCCATTATTCATTCTGTATGTATATACACACACACAAAAAAACCACTGAAGGTATAATTAAATATGTAGCTCTCAGAATTGAGTAGTAGTAGAATATTAAACTGGGTGGAATTTGGGAAATTATACAATGCTTTCAATAATCTCAAACTTCTTCCTGAAAACAACCTTAACACTACTGTTTTCCACATGGTGCTATATGGTTAGAAGTCATGTAACATCGTGATCTTGGAAGAATCAAAATTTCATTTAATGGCACTGGAAAAACATAAAGTGTGTGTAGATTGTAGCATGTTGACAGTGTCGGTTTACACATGAAAGCATAAAAGATGTTATCAAGGACTTGTATTACTGAAAAAGTCAGTCACATAGGATTACAGCCGAAAAATGGACATTCTGCATGTGCTGTAATTGTAACCTTGAGATACTAAAAGAACCAGAGGAAGTGTCCTAGTGAGTTGCATAGAAGATTTTTAGGAAGACATGGACAGGATACCATTACCAGATGGAATAGCTTGGAGAGGTTGTGATCTGTAACAGCCGAAGGAAGAAGCTCTTTGCCAGTGAGATCACAGAGCCATCTAAGTGAGTGAGTGGAAGCGTGCATTTTATCGGTAGAAGACCCAGTGACTTTTATGGTTCTGCCATTGGTTTACTCTGTGGCTGTAAGTTTTTCTTTTCTTGAGGCTATTGTATCCTCAGCTCTTAGCACAGTGCTTTGTATGTAATAAGCACTTAATAAATGTTTTTTCATAAATTCATTATTTCTGAAGAAAAAAAGCCAAAAAATAACTGGTGTCACTTAATCCAAGTTTTTAGTTTAGGAGTAGGGCTAGAAAAGAGGCAGATAAAATACAGAATTTTACCCTATCAGCCCTTTGGCTATGGGTTGTTGTTGTTTTTTTTTTTGGTGTTAAAGATTAGGTCTTCCTATATTGCTGTAGGCTGGAAAGGCAGGAAGGCGTCCCCTTCCCCCATTTCCCAACCCCCTCACAATGCCCCACTGGTTACATGGGCTAAGGAGCTTTGGTCTGCTCCATTTCTGACCGGGGCAGATCAGAGGAGAGGGTTTTCCCTCCTTAGGCAGCCTGTTGGCTGTTCAGGGCTTACCCTATTGATGCTAAACTTAGTGTAAGCACTAAGGTCACTGCAGCTCAGAACTCATGAGTTTGAGAGATCCAACAGCCGCATCATCCTCCAGTAGCCGGGATTACTGGCATGTGCTACTACTTCTGGCAGGAAGTTAGAAGTATAATATCAAGATAAGAAAATGAAATCATTGTTGAGATAAGATTTAACCTTTCATTGCTTCACTACTCCTATTTATAAATGGGAAATGATACTCTTCAAATGATATATATATTCTCTGAAGATAACAGTTCTATAAATAGTAGGTTGAATTTCTGATTCATTATTTACTTTAAAAATGTAAAAAAATGGAGGACCTACTTTTTTAGGGAGAAATAGAAAGGTCTAAGAGTGATATGTGAAAGTAAAAAGAGACCACAGTTTTCCTAGTACATATAATCTGACTGTTATTTTCTTTTCTTCCTGTATGTTTTTTTCTCTTTATTTCCTTATTCTTTGTTCACTTAGCCTTACAGGACTGTGCAGTGGCAAATTTTTTTTTGGTTTATATCTGACAACTTTAAAAATTTTTTTTCAGTCACAAGATTTAACCTGTCAGTTTGCACTCTTGGATTTAGTTTCTGTTCTGAGGATATGAGAAGTATAATTACCAACCTTTGCTATTTTATAGTCTTATATAAGTTTATAATCTGGAAGCAAAGGAAAAGGCCATGTCTTTTTTTCCAGGTTAATAGTGAAATCAGTATATTAACTTTAAAAATTGCTTGTTTTATTGTTGCTTCATTAAACAAATCAGTAATCCTATGTGATTAAATAGAAAATAGTTGGAAAAGGGCAGTATTCATTCTAATGTTGACACTTGCCTGTAAGTATTCTATGTACAATAAAGTACACAGCACTTCACAGAAAACTGTAACTTGAATAGGCACAAGTAGTTGGCGCTCCATTTTGGACACTTGCTAGTGTCAAAACTAGCTGCATCTTATGCAATTCTTGTTTCCCCAGGTCAATTCTAAACATAAGCCAAATTCTACAGAATCAGTTGAGTCTTTTTCAAAGAACACAGCATATAAAAACCAGGAGGAGAATGCACTGCTCCAGCGCAGTAATCAGGAGAATCCAACAGTGTTGGGCACTCAGCTTCCCCAACCCAACAGACATCAAGAAATCTGGTCTGTCCTAGAGAATGTTTGGACCACGATATATCTGAACAGGTACCAAAATTAGCAAAGATAATTTGAGCTCTACCATCAGTAGTTGTTTTTATAGCTCTTTTCTTTCTCTCTGTCTCAGTCTCTTTCTCTGGCTTTTTCTCTTTTCTCATCAGACATTAAGTTCCTACCATGTATGATGTTAGATATTGAAAGTGAACCAGAAATTTTTTTTAAAGTCTGGCTGTTTTTTTCAAAGAGCTTACGTTCTTTATGCAGATGATTCTCAGATTCATTTGTCCATCCCTGACTTCTCTCCCGACCTCCAGTCTCATGTCTCCAACTACCTGTTAGACATCTTGAACTTCATGTCTCCTAGACCATCTTAAGCTCGACCTGTCTAAAACTAAATTCATTATTTCTCCCCCCTCAATTCCTCCTTTCCTAACTTCTCCGACATCTTCCCAGTGACTCCAGCTCATAACCTGGGTGCAGTTATCAACTCTTCTCTCTTATGCCCCATGTTCAGTTAGTTGCCAAGTCCTGTTGTTTCTATCTTTGTAATATCATCTCATAAGCTCTCTTCTTTCTTATGACACTGCCACCATCTTGGTGCAGGCCTTCATAATCTCATGTCTAGACTACTGCAGTAGCATGGTGGTTGGTACCCTGTCCCAAGTCTCTCACCACTCCAGTCCATCTTCCACCCTCAAATTGTATCAGCTGTCAAATTGATCATCTGAAGTGCTAATCTGATTATATCACCCCTGTTTTCAAGTTAATTCCATTGGTTCTCTGAATCAGATATAAAATGCTTTGAAATTTGCTTTTCAACACTTTTATTATCTTCATTATTCTACCTTTCCAGCCTTATATTTTATACCCTGCCACATACTCTGAGTCCTAGTAACATTGGCCTCTGTGCTGCTTTGGACACTTTCACTGTGTGTCTCCCAAGACTTGAACATTCTTCCTCCTCATCTCTACCTCCTAGATTTCCTGACTTCCTTGAAGTCTCAGATCAAGTCCTACTTTATGCAAGAAGACATTCCTATTCCCCCTTAATTCTAGTGCCTGCCTTCTGTTGATTATCTCCAATTTCTCTTCTATCTTGTTTATACATAGTTGTTTGTATGTTGTCTTCCCTGTTAGACTTTGAACTCCCTGAGAGCAGGAACTGTCTTTTGCTTTGTTTGTATCTCCAGAGGTTAGCAAGTGCTTAATAAATCCTGAGTGACTGAATCTCATGAATAATTCTCTCTCACACACCGCCCCCGTCTCTCTCACAATGTAATATGTAATGTACACACACATAGATAAACATAATTCCAAGTAGAATAGGTTAATAAGAGCTATATCAAGTGCTCTGAAATCAGAGGAGGAGGGAATCCCTTCTGATCTGGAGCGTTCAGGGAATGCTTCTTTTGGCAGGTGTTTGAAAGGTGCATTGGAAATTGGAGCTACTAGAGGCAGGAAGACCAATTAGAAAACTGTTGTAATAGACCAAGCAAGAGGTGAAGAGTCCTATGGTAGGGTGGTGGCTTTGAGAGTGGAAAGATGCAAGTGACACTGTGAGGTGGAATCCACATTACTTGGAAACTGATGGTGAGTGAGGGAGAGGGAAGAGTCAAAGATTATTCTGAAGTTTTAAATTTTGGGAGGATCATGGTACCATTGACAGAAAATGAAGAAGGAGGACAGATGTAGTGAGGAAGATGATTTATTCAGTTTTCAGTGTGTCAAGTTTGAGACAAGCTTATTTGCCATCCTTGGCTGGAGATGCCTATTAGGCAGTTGACTATGTGAGACCAATGTTCAGGAGAGGTGGGGCTAAGCTCAATTTAAAAAAAACAAAACCAGTTGATCAATTTTTGTGTTTTTCTTGGATATTGTTTTTTAGTAGAGATTAACCTTTTTAACTTTTTTTTGGTTAGTTTTCAATAATATTGGAGCAGTTTTTTTTCTATGTAGCACTATTGTTTTGTATTGTATCTTTCTATTTTTTTAGCTCAGTTCTGCATAATATATACCAGGTGGTAATTTGATATTTTAATCCTTATCAAAGAGGATGTTTATATTCTTAGCAAGGTATTTTAAGTCTTAGCACAGAGTTTGTTATACTAGTTAGGTACCTGTTATTTCAGGATAAGCATATGCATTAGTTTTTCTCTTGCCCTACGTGCCATTGACCTATTTTGGTGTAGTTAAATTGTGATAAAGGTAGTTTTCTCATCTTTCTTCCACCTTGAGGTGAGTAATATATTTTACCCACCAGGTTACTATTTTCTTTTATATGCAATTGAAATAAATTTTCCCAAACTCTTGGAGTTGGAAGAGACCTCAGAGGATATAGTCCAGTCTTCGCTTATGCAGGAATATCCTTTAAATTATCCCTTAAAAGTGTTCATCCTATTTCCACTTGAAGACCTCCAGTGTTTGGACTGCCTCAAGAAGTAATTAGTTTCCTTTATACTTTTGGAGCACTTTAATATAAGAGGCAAATATCTGCCTCTTCAACTTCTATCATTGTTCCCAGTTACTTAAAATAATACTCACAGAATCTTAGAGTTGTAACTCAGCTAGGTTATGTAGTCTAACCTGTTGTGGAACAAAAATCTTCTTAGCAACATACATGATTACTGGTCAAACAACCTGTGTTTGAAGACTTGTGGTAAATGGAAAGTCAATGTCTTTTAGTACTGTCTCATCCTACTTTAATTATTTGTTTTGCTTTTTGGTGAGGCAGTCAGGGTTAAGTGACTTGTCCAGGGTCACACAGCTAGGAAGTGTCAAGTGTCTGAGACCAGATTTGAGCTCAGGCCCTCCTGACTCCAAGGCTGGAGCTCTATCCACTGTGCCACCTAGCTGCCCCCCACTTTAATTATTAAGAAAAGTTTTCTTATATCAAGCCTAAAATTTCCTCTTTGTACCTTAAACCATTGCTCCCAGTTTTAGTGTCTCATATACCAAGGGGAATATGTATAATCTCTCTTCCACAGGATAGCTTTTTAAGTAGTTGAAAATCGCTCTCTTCCCTACTTCCTGAGTACTTTTTCCAGGCTCCCATTCTTCAGCTACTTTTTGTATGACATGATTGTTTCCTCCCTCATTCGCATTTTAGTTGCCCCCCTCTGGATGTCCCTATAGTTTGTCAATATGGTGTCTAGAAATGGCCTTCATCACCTCTTTCCCTGACCATTGCAGTGGCCTTGTTGATCTCTCAGCCTCAAGTCTCTCTGTCTTCCAAACTGTCTTCCACTCATTTGCCAAAGTGGCTTTCCTAAAACACAGATATGATTATATCATTTCCCTACTAAATAACCTCCAGTGGCTTCATTGCCTCTAGCACAAAACCTAAATTCCTCTATTTGGCCTTTAAAACCCATCCCAACCTGGCCCCAGCTGACCTTTGCAGCCTCGCTGAATGTTACTACACCTCTCAAACTCTGCAGTCCAGCCACACTGGCCTACTCTTTGTTCATCACTCTTAGCATTCTATATCCTATCTTCATGCCTTTGCACTCACGTGTAAATCACCAACCAGAATGCATTCAGTCCACACCTCCACTTAAGAGACTCACTTTCTTCAAGATAGAACTCAAACACCACTATTTATTTGTTTATTTGTTACATTTTGAGTTCCAATTTCTTCCTCCTTCCCAACCCTACATTAGAGCAGGCCTGCATTTGATATGGATACATATATGGAATGATATAATACATATTCCATACATCAGTTCTTTCTTTGGAGGTGGGATAGCATTTGCCTTTGTAAGTCCTTTGTAGTTGATACGAATAATCATATTACTAGCATGGTCATTCACAATTACTCTTTGAGTACTTTGTTGTATACAATGTTCTCTTGGTTCTGCTTTATTTTATGCAAGTCTTTCTATGCTTTTCTGAAATCAACCAGCTCATCATTTCTTATAACATGGTAGTATTCCATCATAACCATATACCACAATTTAATTCATCCATTCCCCAATTGATAGACATCTCCTTAATTTCTAATTATTTGCCACCACAAAGTGAGCTGCTGTAAATATTTTAAAACATAAAAGTTCTTTTCCCTTCTTGATCACCTTGGGAAAGAGATCTAATAGTGTTATTGCTGTGTGAAAGGGCTTACACAGTTTTATAACTCTTTGGGCATTATTCCAAATTGTTCTCCAGAATGATTGGATCAGTTCAGAGTTCTACCAACAGTGTACTAGTGTCCTGATTTTCCCGCATTCCCTTCAGCATTTATTATTTTCCTTTTCTATCATATCAGCCAGTCTGATAAGTGTGAGGTAGTACCTCAGAGTTGTTTTAATTTGCATTTCTCTGATCAATAATGATTTAGAGCACTTTTTTACATAATTATTTAACTTTGATTTCTTCTAAAAACTTCCTGTTCATATCCTTTGACCATTTATCAATTGGAGAATTATATTCTTATACATTTGACTCAGTTTTCTATTCGAGATATGAGGCGTTTATCTGAGAAATTGGCTATACAGTTTTTTCCTTAATTTTCTGCTTTCCTTCTAATCTTGGCTACATGTCCCCACAAAGCTCTCTTATCTCTTGTTTATTTATAAATTCTTCTCTTATTTATAAATCTGATAGTTAATATGTTTCAAGCTCCTCCAATTTACTTGTGATATTTCTGTTTATGTCTAGGGTAAGCACCACTTTCTACACCAGACCTTACCTGATTCTCCCGACTGCTGGTGCTCTCTCTCCCCCTAGTTACCTTGTAGAGTTTTTATTTTTCCTGTGTATACTTATTTTTGTATGTGTTATCTTTCCCAGAGCGTAAACTTTGCTGAGAACCCAGGTTCTCCAGTGTGCTATGATGAGGCATCTGAGTAAGACTTTTGACTTTGCTGGAGACCCATCTTAGTATCCTTAAGAAAACTGAAATAAGATTTGTCAGATGTGACACATTCTTAATGAAACCAATCTTGTACTTAATGATAACTGTTTTCCTTGGGTTTGTAATCTCTGTTGGCCTTCATTTGCTAATATATAAAAAGTAGGGATTAGACTAGATGAGATCTTAGCTCCCTTCTAGAAACTCAAAAATCCATGATTCTAAAGTATCCCTTTTGTAATAGTTTGTAGAATGTTGTCAGGGATCTGTTTCAAGTTGACTGGTGTTTAGACTGAGAATCTGCCTGCTATCCTGATTTGAAAATTGAGATGTTTGAATATCCACAGTCCTGAGCACCTCTCCTGTGCTCTTAAGAGTTTTCAAAGATCACAGTAGTTACTCAGATATTCTGTAGTATCCTAGTACGTAGTTTATGTGTGCTCGGTGTTTTAAACTCTTTGAGGGGCATCTAGGTAATCTATTGCTATTTCTTTATGTTGGCTTTTAATTTTGTGTTATTTTTGCTCTGCCCTTCACAAGTCTGAAGATCATTTATTTTTATTTTTATTTATAATCTGCCTCTCCAACTGCCCCCACCTCTGACTGAACTAAAAGAGAATGAAAGAGAAAGAAAAGAAGGAAGGAAAAAAGGAAAGGAAAAAAAAGGATACAGAGAGGAAAAAAAGACTTCATAATAAATGTACATTGTTCAGCAACACAAATCCCCACATTGGTCATGCCAGAAAATGTATGCCAATTCCTGCATTTTAAATTCATCACTTTTCTGGTAGGAGACAAGTGTCTTGTTTCATCTTTAGTCTTTTGGGCTCATAGTTTGTTACTGCATTGATCAAAGTTCTGAAGTTTTTCAAAGTTATTTTTCTCTATAATGTTGTTATTGTATAAATTATTCTTCTAGTTGTGCTCAGTTCTTTCTGTGTCAATTCGTATAGGTCTTCCCTGATTCCTCTGAAACTGTCCATTTCATCATTTCTTATGGCATAGTAATATTTCATTACATTTGTATGCCATAATTTATTTAGCCATTCCTCAATTGGAGGACACACCTTTAATTTCCAGTTTTGGGCTACTATTAAAAAAGCTGCTCTAAATATTTTTGTATATTTTTTCTTTTTTCTTTGATTACTGTGGAGTATAAATTTATTGGTATAGCTGGGTCAAAGGGTATGTATCTGCACAGTTTGTCAGCTTCCTGAGCATAGTTCCAAACTACTTTCCAGAATTGACTGAATCTATTCAAACCCCCATGAATAGTGCACTAAGGTACCTGTTTTCCCACAACCTCTCCAACAGTTGTCATTTTCTTCTATCATTTTTGCCAGTCTGATGTGTATGAGGTATAATTTGCATTTCTTTGGCTACTAGAGATTTAGAGAATTTTTCATGTTTGTCAGTAACTTAGATTCCTTTATTTGAAAGCTACTTATTCATATCCTTTGACCATTTCTTTATTAGAGAATGGCACTTATTCTTATAAATTTGAACCAGTTCCTTACATATCTTAAATATGAGATCTTTATCATAGAAACTTGCTGCATAGAAAAGATTTTTTCCCCATTCATGTTTCCCTTTTGATTTTAGCCACATCAGATTTGTTCTTGCATAAACTTTTAAAATTTTATATAATCAACATTGTCCATTTTATCTTGTATGGTTCTCTATGAACTCTCCTCATCCGTAGATCTGAAAGATAATTTCTTCCTTTTCTAATTTGTTTTTGGTGTGACCTCTTATATCTGGGGCATGTATTGATTTGGAGCTTATCTTACTTACAATGTGGTATAAGCTGCTGGTGAAAGCCTAATTTAAGCCAGAGTACTGTCTAGTTTTCCTAACAATTTTTGTTAAATAATGAGTCCTTTTCCTTAGTAATTGAAGCTTTTGAATTCATCAAACACTATGATACTGGCTTATTTGCTTTTGTATGTTGTATATATAACCTTTTCCACTGTTCTACCTGAGTGGTTATTAATCAGCGCCAAATTGTTTTAGTGATTACTGCATTGTAGTATAGTTTGAGATCTAATACTGATAGTCTTCCTTCCTTACTGGGTTTTTTTTTCTTCTTAATTACCATTGAGATTCTTGACCTTTTGTTCTTCCACATGAATTTTGTTATTTTTTTTAGCTTTATAAAATATTCTCTTGGAAGTATGGTTTTCATTAATTAATTTAGATGTTTTCATTTTCATTATAATGGCTCATTAACAATTAATGTTCTTCCAATTATTTAGGTCTGTATTTCTATAAAGAGTGTTTTATAGTTGGATTTTTATAGTTCTTGGGTATATCTAGATAAACACACTCCATTTCCTGTAGTAATTAAGAGTTTTCAGAACTCTTGATTCACAACAATAATGGATGCTAAGTCTTTAGCATACATTTCAAAGTTCAGTTCATATTAAACTTTAGCGTTATTGACATTCTTATTGGATTCTGTATTCTATATTCTCTCTGTTACCTGCTATCACTTTCGTATTTTCTACATATCATTACAAGTTGGATAATTGAGTCCTCTGAGTATCCCTATCAGTCTCTTTAGTCACCAGTCTCTTTTCTTTCTCATCAGAAAATTTGTTGTGTAGTAATTTTATTCTTGAAACCATCCTTTCCATCTTGAGCCAACTTTTGCTATAGAATTTTAGGCAATGAGATCCTGCCTACCTCTTCCTTGAAATATCTGAAATCTGTTCTCCCAAAGTCTTAAGGTATTTCCTTGTCTTTTACCAACTCTAAATGGTATGGTCACTTTACTGTTCTTGTACCTTTTGAAGACTGAAATTATAATAAAAACACTTCAGCAATTTATTAGCAGTCTGTCTCTATTTCCTCGCCACCTATTCACTTCTCAGTGTCTTGTAATCTGTCTTCCAACCTTAGCATTCTAATGAAATCACACTTAACAGTAATCTCTCAGCTGCTGAATCTAATTTTTCTTAGTTCTCATTCCGCTTGACCTTGCTCTTGATCAGTATCTCCTCCTAAATAATTTTTTTTTTGCTTCTAATACTTTTTTCTCTTGGTTCTTTTATCTTTTTGGTCAGTCCTTTTCAGTTTGTTTGGGTTTTTTTGGGCTGTTTTGTTTTTGACTTTGTTAGCTCATTATCTCCTGCGTCCTGTAGGTTTCTTTCCGTTAAGGTTCTGGTCTGGCCCTGGGGCCTATTCTCATTTTACTTTTAGTGAATCTTTTCAGCTTCTATAGGTTCAATTCCCATTTTTATATAATATATTTGGCCCTGTTTTATTTCTTATTAATGACTTACGTAAAGGCATGCTCTTCAAATTTACAGATGATACAAAACTAGGGAAAGAATAGCTAATGTAGTAGATGACAGAGTTGAGACCCAAAAAGATCTTGACGCGCCGGAGTGTCAGGCTGAATCTAATAAGAAAAAGTTCAGTAAAAGTAGATGTAAATTCTCCCTTTTAAAGCAACTTTGCAAGTATAAGATTGGGGTTGGGAGAAGGAATGGGTAGACAGCAATCTTTATGAAAAAGATCTTGGAATTTTATTGAACTACAAATTCATCATGCATCAGATATGTGATGTGGCTGCCAGTCTTGGGCATTTAATCAGGGCAAGTAAAGGTGATAGTCCTTCTACATGTTTTTGAGGTCAGATTTCATCTGTATTGCTGGGTTTGGTTCTGGGCACCACAGTTTAAAGACGTTAACAAACTGCAGAGTTCAGAAAAGGGCAACCAGGATATGAGGGAACCTTAAGTCCATGTCATAGAAAGATTGAAGAAATTTGTGATGTTTATCCTGGAGAAAAGAAGACAGAAGGGGGGACATAATACATTCTAGTATCTAAAAGGCTATCATGTGGAAGAGGAGTTAGACTTTTCTGTTTGGCTGCCGGGGCAGAATTTGCAGCAAAGACTTAGAAGCGCCAGAGAGGCAAATTTAGGCTTTATATCAGGAAGAACTTGCTAACAATTAGAACTGCGCAAAAGTAGAATGGACTTCCAGGTGAAGTGGTGGGTTCCTTTTATTGCAGGCATGTCTAACCTTGGGTTCTTGAAGTTGTAAAATTTTTTAAAAATTTTGACAACTCTATTTCAATATAATAAATTTCCTTTGTAATACTAAGTATTTTACTTTATGCTTTTAGAGTCATTATTCTGAGAAGAAGTCCCTAGGCTTTACCAGAATGCCAAAGGGTTCAGGGCACAACAAAATTAAGAACTCTTGTAGATGTCTGTAGGCAGAGACTGGATGACCTCCTGTTGTGTGTGGCGCAGGAGGGATTCCTCTTTGGGTATGAGTTAGACTAGATGGGGCCTCTGGGATCCTTTCCACCTCTCATTCTTTCTTGTTCCATCTGCCTTAGATTCTCTGTGGAAATTGAACAGAATTTGTACAGTATTGCCTTCGCTTTGCATGGCTTCTCATCTACCCCTCCTGCATGCCCATCAGCCCTAAGTTTTATTACACTATCCTTCATTTCCATTATAGATAGTACTGTGTGAGATAGAAGAATAAACCTTAATAAGTTTTTTAATATGTACAGCAAAAATATAATATATGAAAATGTAATAAGTGTACATACACGTGTAACATGAATCTTTCCTTTTGTTTCTTATCCTAGCACGGATGTTTTCCAAAGTTTGGATTCTAGCAATACATCGAGCACTCCAAAGATTGCATCATTTGAAGAGGCCTTTGTATATCTTCAGAAATTGATGGCAGCTGTGAAAGGTGTTCTTGCTGGAATTCAGAGGTAATAAATGCTAAGTTCATTTTAACTTTGAGCTGTCATCTGTACAGTGATTGTCACCTTTTGGAATTGTTATTTGTATAATTTTTTTTTCAATTTTGAGATGTACAATTACTGTAGAATAACTAATTGAAAAGTAATGGTATATCTTCTGATTGAACTAGTGGAGACTCATTTTGTGTGTGACATATTTAACATCCATGAACTGGCTAGGATATACAAATGTAAAATAACACACTCTCCTGTCCTCAAGGAATATGGGGTGAGGGAAGTGGGGTGTGGTAGAGCTATGTACAAAATAACTATTATACAAGGTAGAAAAAGATAGGTAGGTAGGTGCAAAAGATAGATGTGGACATAATGCTATAGTGGTGTTCAAATTAAATAGGACAAAGTGAAGTAATTAAATGTATTGACTTATAAATTAACCTTACAGCTTTTTATATCTTTAAAAAAACTTTAATATGCGATGTCTTTTTGCTGCAATCACTTATTTTACAGAATTTGGCATGGGTTCACAAGATTTTGACATGTATTCCTTAATTCTTCATCTTGAAATCACATTTTTATCGCACTGAATATTAAGTGTATCTTTGACAAATATTCTGTTTTTTCAAATCTCATACTAATTATAACCCACAGGTTTTCAAGGGGATTTAAATCCAACACCTTTGAAAACCTATAGGCTACAGTGAGATTTAATAAGGCAGAAGCAACATGGGATAATTAATAGTTAGCTTCTAAGCCAGGAAGTCCTGGGTTCAAGTGTTGCTTCTGACATTTATTGGTGTATATGACCCTGTGCAAATTATTTAACCTCTCAGTGTCCCTAGGAAACTCACTAAGACTGAAAGTTGTAGGGAAGGTTCCAACCTGCATTGGTAGAGGGTATTTCCTCATCCAGGAATTCCCTATATTAATGAACTCACAAGGCTAGTCCCTCCTACTCATCCTCATTGTCCCTTAAATCCGGTTAGTTTCTAGGCCTTTGAGGCATATTTATCACTGTCTCTTGTATATATTTCTTAACCTTTTGTGACATGTGACATAGTACAATGCCAAGTTGTAGTATTCTGTCTCCAGAAACTTCGGAATTTCTGTAAATCCAAAACAATTCCCTTTCTTAGCATATCAATATATTTATCAAAGTTCATTATTCCCTCAATATAAACAAGACTTCTAGGCTAACTCATAGTAAAAAAAAAAATCCCCAAAGCATTTTTGAATGGATCTTTTATAGTCTTTTTTACAGATCTTTTAAAGATGCCCAAATCTTATAAGTGAAAAAGTGAGTTTCATCAGTAGGGTTCTTTTCTAGTGTTAAATCTTTCTCATTTGATTTTGATGTTCTTAGTTAAACTACAACTAACTTGTCATAGTTTAATTTATTCTCTAAGAATTTGCTTTTTAGTATTACCAGTTTTCCCAGATTTGTTCAAACCTTCTGGAATTGTTGCCTCCACTCTAGATAATAATTTATTTATGTCTCCATGGCTCTATTCTGCTTGCCCTAAAACCGTAGGAGAAATACCCTCAAAATATTGGCCTTTGCCTATTATCTCATACTCTGTTTATGGTACAAATAGGAATTTATTAAATTAACTTTTTTAGTAACACTCACAACACTTAACCAGTTTTCCTTGTTGGGTACGTGATTCTCCTTCATGTGATTTGACTGGTTTAGAAATTTGTAAGAGTCCCACAGAATAATAAAGTTTTGCAAGCACTGTTATAGTCCTTGTAGTGTGGGCCCCACTTTTTAAATATTATGTTAAAAGAATAGAAAATGTAGTCTGGTATTATCTTTGTAGCTTAATAATATGTGTATTTCTTCTGTTGGCTATAAAGGGAGCCCATATTCATATTTTTTCAAAATATCTAACAATTCTCTGAGAAATCTTATGTCTCAGTTTCTACCTGAAAAGAATCATATTCCCTCATTCTATAAAAGATAAGGAAAACATCGAGTTTAGGACCCCATATCATTTCTGAAATGTGATTTTCTAACCCAGTCAACATTGTTTTTTTTCTTTTTATCACACGGATTGCCTGTATGAAATTCATAACTAATTGTTTTCCAGAATTACCTGTTTGGGGTAATTATTTACTTCTCCCATTCTTTTAGAAAATAACTGGCAACGTGACTTCTGGAGTGAAAAGTTGTCAGAACCTTATATGGATCATCATGAATCCAGCAGTAATGATCGGGTTTCCAGTGAGAGCTCCAGAAAAAGATAGGGCCTTTACAGTTTTGCAGTGATATAGCCTCAACACACGAATCAGCTTTTAGTTAGAGCTAGAAAGTTTCACTTGTTTAGGAACCATACTTGTTAGTGCCTCCACTAAATAAACCTAAATACCTTAGTTACTAGGGGAAGAACACACTTTTTAACAGCTGTTGGTAGCAAAAGTCTAGTAGAAATTAGGCATAGACCAGCTCTTCATACTGCATACCGAGATGCTGCTGCTGCTGCTAGCAGTAACATTTATATAGCGCTTACTCTGTGCCAAATGCTGTTCTGAGCACTTCAGAAATATCTTATTTAGTCCTCACAACAACCCTGGGAGGTAGGTACTATTATTATCTGCATTTTACAGTTGAGGAAACTGAGACAGACAGAGGTTGCTGCTGTGGATCTTACAGCTAGTAGTATCTGAAGCCAAATTTGAACTTAGAAATTTGAACTAAGGTAGACCCTTCATCTAGGCCTAGGTGTCTACCCACTGTACCACCTAACTGCTCCAAATGGATGCATGCCTCAGGTATAAAAGATCACATCATAAATAAATTTTTAGAGGAAGGAAAAAGTTACCTTTCAGATCTGTGGTTAGGGGAAGAGTTCATAAAAAGAGATAGGGAGGATCATATAAAATTGACAATCTTGATTATACAAAAATAAAAAGTTTTTGCACACCCAGTTTAAAAAGGAAACCAGTTAATGAGAAAAATCTTTTCTTTGCCGCAAGTTTTTCTAATGCAAGTCTACATATATAAGGAACTGATTCAAATTCGTAAGTCTGAGAGCCATTCTGCAGTAGATAAATAGTAAAAGGATATGGGCAAGCAGTTTTCAAATAAAGAAAACTACGTTACTAGCAGTCATGAAAAAATTCCCTAAATCTCTAATAGAGAATTGCAAATTAAAGCAACTTTGAGGTAACATTTCATGTCTATCAGACTGGCACTGGAGTTTATTGCATAGAGGAACTATATGGTCAGACTTGCACTTGAGGAATATTACTTTGTCAGCTGAGTTTAGGATAAACTGGGTAGAGAGATATGAGGCTGGCAGACCCACTAGCAGGCTATTACAGTAATCAGGGGGTGATGTGATAAGGCCTGTATCAGGAGGGTGGCAGTGTCAAAGGAGAGAAGGGAGACTATATGAGAGATGTTGTGAAGGTAAAATCTATAGGACATGGCAACAGATTGGATATGGAGAAAGAAAGAGAGTGAGAAGTCAAGGGTGCCACCTAAGCTGGGAGCCCGGGTGGCTGGGGTCATTTTAGTGCTCTTGAAAGTAATAGGAAAGTTAGAAAGAGAGGAGGATTTGGGGGGAAGTTAATGAATTCATTTTTGGACATGTTGAATTTAAGCTGTCTGGAATATCTGCTTCCATTAGCCACTGATAATGTTCATTAGCCACTGATAAATAAGACATAGATTCTGCCATCAGGAATATGATTTAATTGTTGGGGGTGAAGAGAGGAATATGTCATGTATAAAAAAAATCTAATATAGCTACAAGTTAGAATATGCTAAATACAAATAAGGACAGAACTTTGAATGCTAATTTTAGGTGATCAGAAGATAGTGTACAAGCAGCACAGGAGAATTAGTACTCCATCACAATTAAATACCACAACTTGATTGGCTATTCCCCAATTAATGGACATCTTTTCAATTTCCAATTTTTTGCCATCCAGAAAGAATTGCTATAAATATTTTTGTATACATGTAGGTCCTTTTCCTTTTCCTTTGATCTCTTTGGGGTACAGACCTACTAGTGGTATTGGTGGGTCAAAAGATATGCACAGTTTTATCATCCTTTGGATATAGTTCCAAATTATTCTCCAGAATGTTTGGGCTAGTTCACAACTCTACCAACAATTCATTCATCTACCTATTTTCCTTATCACTTACAGAATCTGTCTTTTCTGATAGGTAGGAGATGCTGTCTCGGAGTTGTTTTAATTTGCATTTCTCCAAACAGTAGTGATTCAAGTCATTTTTTGTATGAAAATTACTACCTTTCATTTTTTCTTCTGAAAGCTATCTCTTCATATTCCTTGACAGTTTATTGATTGGGATTCTTATTTTTATAAATTTAACTCAGCTCCCTGTATATGTGAGAAGAGGCCTTCAATAGAGAAGCTGGCTGTAAAAGTTTTTGGTATTACATCATTATCTATGGTACCTTCTATTAAAATGTTTTCTTGATTATCTCTTTTAATTATATTTATTTTTACTTTTGCTTTGTCTGAGATTGTGATTACTACCCCTGCATTCTATTACTTCAGCTGAAACATAGTATATTGAGCTCCATTCCCTTATTTCAGTTCTCCACGTGTGACTTTCTCTTTCAAGTATAAACAGTATATTATTGGATTCTGTCTTCTATTCCATTCTGCTCTCTACTTCCTTTTTATGGGTGAGTTCATCCTATTCACATTCACAGTTACGATTACTGGCTGTGTAGTTCCCTCTATCCACCCTTCTGTCTTTTTATCCTGGCCCTCCTCAGAAGTCTCTTTTGCTTCTGACTGCTGCTTTCCTTGATCTCCCTTTTATCATTGCCCTTGTGGTTGCTGATAGCTTGAGTTTCTTCCTTTGAAAACTGCCAGTTTATTTTCTTTGCCCATTCTTTTTGTTAGATTTGTCTAGTGGTGACAGAGGGTCCATTGAGGTCCCTCACTAATCCAGTTCTGCTTTTCCTGCCTGCAATTTAATTGACTTTTCCTTTAGTATTTTTTAATATTTTCCTTAGATATTTATCTGCTCT